TTAATCCGTAGCCAGTGTATACGAAAGCGGGTTCGTGTTTTTATTATCTGCGACCGGTCCGTTATCCGTGACCTAACCTGTAACAATGTGTCGAGTTGACGAGATGGAACGTTGTGTTTTATAAACCATGAATATATTTATATTTTAGGGTAAGCAGTACCTAAAGCTAAAACAGTTAGATATTTTCATATAAGGAAATACCAGAACTTACTTTCATTCTATGAGAATAATTATACATAAACTAAGAGTATACAATATAAATATTAGTATAAACTTCATTTAAATTTTGGTAAATAAATATTATACCTCAAGATGAATGTCAAGTTATATTAGTAGCCGGAAAATTGTGTCAGTACCTTGATCTTTCCATCGTTTTCGGCTATAATTTTGTCTGCCTCTTCTCTAGTAACAATTTGTTCAATGGTTCCGTTTACATCGACGAGCACGCCGCCATCGGTCACTCCGCTCTCAGTGACGAGACGTTTGCTTAAAAACAAGTGACGTTCAGCCAACGCCATCGTAACACCGATTCACAGCAACTATGTGAAGCGAACCACGCTAGCGTCCTACACCACCAGTGTATAATTTACAACTAACTATTGATCACATGACAACGCGCTATTAGCGGATTCTGTTATCGTGAAAACTTTGTGACTATTGTAAACAAACAAATGGATAGTGATAAAGATGACGAAAGATGTTCGATAATATTACAAGTGTCATACTTTAGTTGTTATGCTGTAGGTACAGAGCTACACAGCCTTTATCATTTATTTTGAAGTCACATCACTCTGGCGGACCTGGTAGTAAATATGTATTTTGCACTGAAGACATTTATTTTATTTTAAATGAGATAATAATTTTGATATTATCCCAATACATTTTTATATCCTTATGCCAATTCATCAAAGAACAAAATGCATTTTTTCTTGCGGCCAGAATCAAATAATTTATATAAAACCTGTAACGCATGTCTACACATCCATCATTTCAGATTTAAAAAAAATTACATCTTACATTTTTCGCCTTACTTATCAATCCAGTGAGTCCCCAAGTATTACACCGATCACCCATTTAACCTTCAATTGAATTATTCTATAACAACTAATCATCAATTTTCGTATATTAATGAAACACAATGTAGTCGCAATGTAGGGAGAGCCATGCTTCGGCACGAATGGGTCGGCTCGACCGGAGTGATACCACGGCCTCACAGAAAACCGGCGTGAAACAACCACAGTGTTGTGTTTCGCCGTGTGAGTGAGGTTACCGGAGGCTCAATCCTTCCCCTCCCTCAATCCCTCCTCAATCCCTTAATCTCCAAATCCCTAATCCCTAAAAGGTCGGCAACGCACTTGTAACTCCTCCGTTGCGGGTGTCCATGGGCGGCGCTGATTGCTTACCATCAGGTAATCCGTCTGCTCGTTTGCCGACCTACACAACTAAAAAAAAAAAAAAAAAGTCGTTTTACTACGAATACAATGGGCTATTTTTTGTTAGGTTTAATTTCTTTTTAAATTGTGAACCCATACTGCGCGTGGGCACAGAGCATCTGACATCGTGTGTTGACGAATCATAGGTATAATAAATGCCAACGCCCCACCTTGAACTTCGCCTTGAATACGAGCATGCGGGATGCTCCAGGCCATCGCCCGCTACTTCCAACCCCCCCTCGCGGCAGCATACACAACGCTGGGGCACAAGTACCCAGTAAACAGTAAACATACACATACCGATTCCGGTTTGTCCTTCTTCCAAAGGGCAGGATGATCCAGATTCCGCACGATCCATTAATAACATAATAATATAAAGTCTTGATCTAGCATCAACTCATTACGAGCACGCACAGGTAAGTACAAACAAATTAAATCGAAACATGAGCAAAACTTCCCAAAAAGCTAGGTCACTCGTGCGGGTCAACTTTGAACAGTTAAAAACATGGGCATTGCCAATTTCAGGGTCCACTTAGTTCGTGTGTGTACAGTTAGGTGGTGAACTGATGCGACAGAGTCGTGCCGGTAAACAATGCGAGTGACATTGGCGGCAAGAAAGGAAGAGACGCAGCGTGCATAGTAATGACGAATGGGCCCGGTGCGCCAACCAAGACCCACGTATGTGCGTTAACGCTGGCCGCCCGTGACCGCGCACTGCGCTATACGTTCCATAACTAACAGTGGTACTTCCAGTGGCTCAACCATAATTAATTATTTTAATTTTTACTTAGTGCAAAATCATATTGCTTAAATACACCTTAAATCTAATTTGAAAAAATTAGTTATTACTCAGATCGTTAAAATAAAATAAAAATATCGTAATCTAAACTAAACGCAAATTACCTATCTATTAAGACACATTTTTGGCAATAGTGAATAATGTGACTACAGTGAACGATGTGCTTAGACGAACTTTAAGAAATCAATTAAGTATTGTAAAATTTGTCACATAACATACGAAAGGTAATTTTGTTTATTTTTTTAATAAAATTTTAAGCACAACTAAACTTGTAAAGCGTGTGTTCACAGTCCAGAACGACGAATTTAAGATTAAAGATATATTTTGCCTTTGGTAAAACTTACCTACCTACCTGATAAGCAAATGAGTGCCTTGTTATAAGGAAGGATGATTTAAGTTTTTCGTCTCATAACACATTTATTATCATGATAAGATCAAATACATAAGAAACAAGATGCCTGTAACAGGTTCATAGAAAATTATAGTTATAGTTCACGATAGCCCAACTAGACTTATGTAGTGACCATTCAATCTTGTTCATGATAACGTATCATTAAGACATTAAATGCTTACAGGGCAAGAAAAGAGAACCCAAATTATAATAACTAAGCTAATACAACTATTTTACTTTCTATAAGTTACTAGATACTCCCCCCACGCGGTTTCACTCGCTCCTCGGCTCCATTTGATTGTAGCATGATGTTTTATAGCACTCAGGAACACTGTAGCTATCATTAGCTGAAAGAATTTTGGGAATCTGACCAGTGGTTCAAAAGATTACTATTGTAAGTTTGTATGTAACAAACTTACAAATCTTATATCTTTATAATATTAGTGTAGATTTACTGGATAAATTAAGTGCATTCGTATAAATATTATCAATGTTTAAATTGCAAATTATTTTTAAATATAAGATGTGTCTGTGCTGTGATCTACTTGCCTTCATTTACAAATTCACACGCTCCTCAAGAGGGATTTTTTCTGTTTCTTGGTTGGCTTTATAATTTCATACATAAATAGGTACATGTTAATATACCCACGTATTTATTTAAAAATGCCTATTCCTGTAACAACATTATCTAATCGTGACCAAGTTGTGTGAAATTAACTGTTGTAGAATCCGTGATATTTCGCTACGGGTCAGGGCTAACTGAAAGTGCCTGAAAAGATGTAATAGCAAAAAGCTAATTGAATATTTTTATATACCTATTCGAAGTCTGTTAAATTAATAAATTCATATTCGTAGTTATTATTAAACGTAAATCATTTATCACGAAAAGTCAATAACCAACTTTATGGAAATCCATACCTATTGATTTTTTTCGTTACTCATTCATTCTTTTTTTTATGTAGATATATATAATGCTCATTAATTTTATTAGTTTCGGATAACGGTTTCTTTTTTATATCTACGACATTTTATTTAAGTGAAATGTCATATTTTTCCACTTGATATAATAATACTGAGGGAAATTATTATTAATACATTGGCAACTATGATTCAATTCTATTAAATGATGGATACACCTAGAAACTGTAAACTGGAATTGGTAAAATAAAATTTAGGAACGGTAAAACAGGGTAAAAATACTGAAATGTGAATAGGTACAAAAAGGAGAGAATATAATGTAATGTATAATGGAAAATTGAGCTGGTATATTGTTCTTGCACCTAATCAAATTGAAAAGATAGAATAAATCTATGACTCAAAGCTATTGTTAATTAAGTAAAATTAAACCTGTTGGCTTTTAAGTTTACCATTATTTTAATATTTCTTTAAACCTTTATATAAGTAGAGTTAGTTTTATAAAATATACGTACATTGGTATGTATTAAATCGACAGAAAAATGATCAAATTTAGACCCTCTTAGGGTAACCATAAGTTTTGAAATAATTTAGTACTATAAAGACTATCAATGCCAACACCGTAGCTGATCTATAAGGCAAAAATGATGTCTTTAAAGTAGGCACCCAACCCTATATGGAACCTTTTCCATGTGGAATTACTAGCTTTTGCTCCTGACTACGTTCGCGTGGAAGATCCTGCAGATTTTTGATATTATAGCTATCCTATATCCTTTCTCGAAAACTATGTGTATATATGTTTCAAACTATGTCTGTACCAAATTTCAAGCGTGAATAAAAGACAGACAGACAGAGTTACTTTCGCATTTATAATCTTAGTTTGGATAAGGGGTTAAATTGTTACATTTGTGTTCCACTGTTTATTTTAAAACGGTGCTCACCACAAAGATTTATTATTTTTTATGTAAGTAGCCGTAAGTAGTTATTAATAGAATTGAACGAGTACCGAGAGAGTGATGTTACCGATTGAAGTTATTTCCTTTCTAGCAGTAAGTAAAACGTGTCCCTAAACATCTTTAATTCTTGTGCACAAACGTGGGTGCGACACGAAGCTCGGCTCGATGTCACCGGGGTATTTAACACTAGGTGACGCGCGCGCCGCCCGCTCAGTCGCACCAGACCCGCGACGCACGCGCAGCTTCTCAATACACATAGGGGTGGTGTTTTATTTATACCCTTTAGTATTTACGCGAGATAATATTTTATAGGTACGTGTGCAACTAATTAATAGCAATATTGCCTCTTTTGCATTCTGCAATAAAATTTTGTGAGATTCAAGTTTTAAAGTTAAGAAAATATTAATACCTACCGGCTTTAACCGGTATTAAAGTAGTAATTTTATCATACTTATTTTTATTTACAGATACTTATAAGTTTTAAGAATCGCTGAAAGCTCCCCATCATGGGGCACAACTTCACTCTTTGGGTAAGTATTGTTTGTTTTCATTGCTTCTCACATTCTTTGTACCTCGATTTCTAATGATCCGAATTAATTGATACTGACAATTGTTTTGTGAATTTTCAATATTTTAGCTGTCTGTATTAAATATAAAAAAAACTTCCATAACAATAACAAATGCTATAAATAAGATTATTCGATCGGCGCGAATAATCACTTTGATTACTTTGCATTTAAGCTAATGAAATAAGCAATTTAAAAAGTATATAACTCAGCTATAGGTCAATGAGTTTGATAATTAACACAATAATTGAAAAACAAAAAAACAATACTTATTTTTTTTTAAATTCAAAATTTTCTTGAAATAACTATATTGTTAAATTAAAGAAATAGCACGTATCTATTACGGAATAAATAGACAAGGAGTAGCGCTTAACTGTTATAGGATCATTATATGAATGGTGTCCCAAAATTTAACTCGGCGAAATAAGTAAGCGCCTCTTACACTCATTTCATATGCACGACATGAATGCCCACATATAAAGTCATATGAGAAAGTTAACTGCAGGCACCTGCATCATATAAGGCAGTAGGGCACACGTGGTCGGGAGCAAGGTCACAAAACCGGGATCAGGATAAACCTTAGTAGGTACCTATCTAGGTGCAGAACCGGTTGGTCTTCGAGCCTTCACTTGGCGAATTTATAATATAAATTTATTTTTAGGAACTTTTTTTGTATGATTGTGTACTTAAAATAAATTCCAATTTCTACTAAGTAAAAAGTAAAGATTAGCCTAAATAAAACAAGCTCTCGATGAAAACCACATCTTTCATTACTAGTCAATTGCAGAAAAACTTAAGAAGGTCTGCAATGCCAATTTGTATTGATGTTTAGACAGTTTATTATTAGTTTGAAACTTGAAAGTCTCTAAAGGAGATAGCGGTATACTGGTGTTAAATACACTTGAAATATCAAAACAACATTAGTTAGGTGCCTACGACTAAAATACGAGAATAAGCTTAGCAAATAACAGACGCGTGTTATTGACAAAGCTAGGATAACTGTGATGTGGTTAAAGACGTTCTTAATGCAATGACTAATTTGTAATTTCATGTTTATATTGAAGGAGCGACAGCTTCGAAAAGGTTTTATATCCTCATCGTGAGTCAGGCATTAATTAGGCTTTGTTTTTATGGACGCTACTTACTCACAAGCCGTCTATTGGTTATGTTATTAAATATTTTAAAAAGTAATAAAATTGCGCTAAGAAATAACTTACAAAATTGCAGTTTTACAATTTATATGATTTATCGCATATAGTGGCATCGCGATGATAAATAATACTTACTTACATATATAGAATATGTTATCCACTCTAAGGTTGTATTTTTAAATTTGAACCCCATATTTGAGTGGCAAGGAGCGTATTATTTTACATTCACATAATCAGCTATCATTTTTTATAAACAAAGAAGATTTCTTTTCACGCCATCGATAGTTACTATCAGAAAAAATACCTTATATATTACCATATAGCCATCTATTTTAAATAGGTATAGTATGCGATGCACGTACGGGGACAAATACTCATGCGTCGCTTCTTCGGCCTTCATATCAATACAATGTCATTTTGTATCAATCTAGTTTTCTACAATATAGTCTAAGTTTTATTAAAATCCCAATTAAATTAGAAGACCACTAGGTAGGTACTATTAAGCCCCACATTGACCCAAAAAGGCATAAAAATCTTGTTTGCAATTAAGTATTTTGACAAAAAGCTAATCAACCTTATTTATTGGAAGCGTTTAACATGAGAACGAGACCGGCTAATAAATGTAAATTGAATGCACATGTTTTGATCATAAAAATAATGCGATGAGGATAGGGACAATAACATGGATGGTTCGATTTATAATTAGACGTTGTCTCAAATATCCAGTTCAAAAATAAATAAGATATTGAGTCCTAATCGCTGGCGAAATGTCACGCGAAAACACCTTGGACTGGTTGGGATGATGACCCCACGGGTAGCCGCTACCTGCCTCTGGTGCCTGTATGCAAATCGTGTTGTTTTCCGAACGACTCGAGTCAATGTACTAGAGATCGTTTATTAGTAATTTATTAGATCGATTCCCCGCACCCAAAATACATCACAAATCTATTAGATAATCTGCTATTCCGGTGGACGAAATTTTGTTATTTAATAATAATACCTACGAGTTAAACAGGATTTTGAGAATAACCGCTGTTTATGTAGAGTAGGCGATGTGTAGGTGTTTTATATTTTACACACAGTTATAAACGAAAACTAAAAGCTTTCATTAGCACGCTTCGATTACCTATGCGGTTTTCCTCGTGCATGAAAACGACATGAAATATTTATATTTACTATTTCTAAATGCAACAAAGGGCTTACGTTATTAATTTATTTTGAGTTAGCAATCAATTATTATCAAGAAACAGGTTTAATATTATATTAACACATCTACATCCCCCAAAAGGTAGGTAGAGGTGTATATTGTTCATTATGTAAAAAATGGATATTCAATAAATATATCAGACACTTCTTATTAATTGAGTACTTACCTACTATGTTATAAGGGCTATTGCCATTTTATTTTGGTCTATACAAAATTATTGAGTTTTTGAATTGTTTGGTGTTTTATCTTTTAGTAGCGTTTCAGATTGACGATAATACTATTTGTTTTCTGCATAGTGAATTTCGTGTTACCCCTTAGGTAGGTACTTAGGGACATGCGTATCGATACCCGTTATTAGAATTTGAGTGAAATCCAATATTTAAAACACAAATAGTCACCTAAACAAGAAGCGGCCGTTGACATTGTCACCACAATAAAATGAGAATAAACACAAAGTTTGGTAAACCAGTCTCAAGTGTTGATCTTAATTCTTGAGTCTGTCAAGTTATGTTAATTACGAAGACGCAGATGTATAGCATACATGTTCGAAAGGTCATTGACCGCTACTGCCTACACTACAAATGTTTTCAGTTCGGGCGCCGCACATAGAAAATCCAATCTTTATTAATGGTTCCTTTGTTATCATCAATTGATTCTCAAACCACAAAGACATTGTACCTAAGCGGAGTAAGCTTTTTATACACACTTTTTACAACCTTGTCTTAACGGTATTACCTATGAGCTTTAATTTAAATGTCGTCAGATAAATGATATTGTTATCGATGTCAACAAACGTTTTATTACAATAAAGGTCGTCAGCCTCCGAGCCATCTATTCCATGAATTTAATGCGAAACACGATAGTTGACTGTCGAGAATAAAAATTAAGGAAAGACGAAACACGAAACCCGTTTTTCTAATAAAACACGTTCGAATGTGTCAAACATTAGATCGAAAACTTTGTTTACGTTTGTATAGAAAATAATAGGTATGTAATTTTAATTTTGTTAATGTTTTTTTTTTCAGTGCGCTTTAGCGTTAGCGTTATGCGCGTACGCATTAGCATCTCCTCGTGCGGGATTCACATTCACGAGAAGTGCTGTTGAAACGGTTCCACAACATGATCCCATAGCTGCACCAATACGTGCCTCTGTCGAAAGTATACCGTTAAGGTAAATAGAATAAAAATGCGATGTAAATAATGTTTTATTATGCACCGACAGAGTTACAGTATTGATTTAATTTACTTGCTTTATAGGAGCGTTCGTGACGAAGGTGATGAGAGGTTACCATTACGTGACGCTGTAGAAAAGAGACCAATCTCACTGATAGAACCCGGATCTGCTTTCAAATTAATCGAGGTAATTATTAAATAATTTACTTGGTTACTAAATAATGGTACTTAAACGTGCATGACACAGCATTGCTTGGTTTTTTTACTGAAAATAAATTTTAAATTGATTTTTCGTCCCCGAAAACCTTTACATACAAAATTACATCGAAATTGTTGGAGACGTTTCCGAGATCCTGTGAATATATAATATACAGTAACATACAAGAATTGATTGTTTTAAGGTATTAGATTTATAAACGATGTTTTTTCTCAGGATGCTGAGGTTATAAGAGATGAAGATAGCTTTAGCGGGTTGAAATATTACGGCGCTGCCGGTTATCTTAACAAGTAAGGAACATTTCAAATCTAAGTCCCTTATAGAATTATGATCATGTTATTGAGAAGACAAATTTTTAACTCAATCGCGTATTTTCTTGGCAGCAGTACCCGCAACGATGAGAGACTGCAACTAGGAAATGCTAACTTGCAAGGTAATCACGTTATCCTATACATATTTTAGTAAAAACATTTGTACCATGTTTATTTCTGACTAATTCATGTCCTTGGTTTTGTTATCCAGCAATGCAGCAGACAGTAGCGAGTCCCAGAGCGCGTCGTATCATAGTTTGTTATATGGAGTCATGGGCCGCATACAGAGCACCCCCACTAGCATTCACTGCCGGATTAGTGCCCAAATCCTGCACCCATCTCCATTACGCCTTCGCCACTATGCACCCTCATACATACTCAGTTATTCCCAACAATGAGGATTACGATATCGTTAAAGGTGAGAACCATAATAAACGCTATTCTATCAGTATTTAGTACCAAAATACTATGATCATAACTGTAACTTTACCTTTTTGTTTAAGGTGGTTACCGCATAGCGACTGGCTTGAAAAAACGTCTTAATGGCTTGAAAGTGATGATCAGTGTGGGTGGAGAAGGCACAGACCGTCTGTTCAGCGAAATGGTACAGGAACCAGAGAGACGTAGCATGTTCATAGAAAGTGCCGTCAACTTCATGAGAGAGCATGACTTCGACGGCTTAGATCTTCATTGGGTTTATCCAGGTAAGAAAAAATAAATGTGATTTATCGTATTTTTCAAACATAACATATCTACGGATATTTATGTATGGATATCTAATATATGTATATTTCTAGGTGAAGACGAAAACGAAAGAGAGTTGTTGACAGCACTCCTTTACGAACTCCGAGAAAAGTTTTCCTCTTATGGATTCCTACTTTCTACCGTTTTGCCACCGTTCAGGTAAACATACAACTCTTTACGCACTACTCTCCGCAACTACCCTTGATAAGGTAATTTTATTTTCAAATTTTTGTTTCATTAGATATCAAATTGAAGACGGATACGATTTAAGTGCTGTAAGTGGTGCAACCGACTACACAGTGCTGCAGGCATGGGACATGACACACGGCAAGCGAGACGAACCCCCGACAAGAGCTGTGCAACATAGTCCATTGCGAAGGGATCCTGGAGCTGCTGCTCGAGACCAAAGATATGATAACATTGTAAGCTCCCATTTTATACGACTCGAATCCAATCATTAATTCACCGTAGTCTTGCAAATGATAATATACCTTTAGTTATAGAAACAAATATATCTTCTGTAGGTAAATTACCTAAATATTCAGCACGATTTCAGATTTTTAAATCCAATAATATAATAAAATAGTATAATATAATCCACCTTAAATTTTAAAACCAGGAATTCATGGTGAAGTTCATCCTCCGGCATGGCATGAATGCTGAGAAGTTAGTGCTTGGCATTCCATTCTTCGGACGTACGTATTCTCTTGCATCATCAGCGCGATCTGCTCCCGGTGCCGCAGTTACCGGTTGGGGTGAAGAGGGCGCTTACACTCAAACCAAAGGACTCTTATCTTACTTTGAAGTGAGTATTCCAATATTCCAGTAACTAAATAAAACTTGGTCCATCAAAAATTCTAAAGAAAGTACACAGATGGGTACACGTTTTCTTTAATGGCTCCATTTTGTTCACAGATTTGTATGGCCGAACGTGAAGGAAAAGGATCTAGTAACGTTGACGAAGCTGGAAACACTTACGTAGTGTTTGACAAGGAATGGGTCACCTATGACACTCCAGTAACCGTCTTAGAAAAGGTATGTTTTTAATAGCAATATGTTACTAGAAACGGCAATGCTATCTACTTTTGTTTTCGTCTACGTTAAGATTCATACAAAAATATGGGTAAATTCATAAATGGGCATTTTTTCAATCAGATGAAGTTTGTGGTAACTACTGGCCTGGCTGGAGCTGCGGCGTGGTCAATTGACATGGATGACTTCAGAGGACTATGCGGTCAGCCATTCCCACTCTTGAGCGCCATTTCAACCACACTTAATGGTAGGTAACATTACATGCCAAATATGATAGGCTTTAACTTTCAATACTCAATACTCAATACTTTATTGCTTTCCACATGTATTCTTAGGTGGTAGTACTTATAAATAGTTCATATGGACCCTGTCGGGCACAGCAAAGTAAGTGGGATAGGAGAGAGGAAGCTCTTATCGGCTATGTTACTTATTTTTGTTGACTAAGACTAAGGTTATATAGGCAAGTAAGTTATATATATTTGTTTGAAATTTTTTTTATTTTTTATTTATTGAATCACTTAATCTACACTGTAAGTGTGTGTGTGGTGTGTGTGTGTGTGTGTGTGTGTGTGTGTGTGTGTGTGTGTGTGTGTTTACTAGCATCTACAAAAACTTTGTTTATTACTAGCATCTACAAAAACTTTGTTTTTGTAGATGCTAGTAATCTTCTTTCCTTACAGGTGAAGCTATCCTATCAGATCAATCTTCATTGAAAATAGGTTCATGTGAATCTGACAATCCGTACTTAGCGTCAGACGTAGACTCTTGCGCACACTTCCACTTTTGCACTGGTGGTATCAGCTACAGAATGTCTTGTGAAGACGATCGTCTTTACGATCCCTCTACTGGATTCTGCGGGTATGTTGGCTTTGAAATAATAAATTATTTTAACATAACCAACGATAGCCTTTATTAAAAATATTTTGTCTGGTCCCAACAGCCACCAAGATGTCGCAAAATGTATGCCAGGACAAAGTCTGCGCATCAGCGTGGAGGACGCAGCTCGTTTTCTATCTCAAGCGTATGAAAACGATTTCGAAGTAAGTTGATTTAGTTGATTCAGAAAAATAAACCTATGACTGATTTGTAAAATAAGAAAAGAACTAAAAATAACTCTAATATTTGCAGTGGAATGACCCTAGCAAAGACATGGCAGCAAATAATGACCCCGAGCGTTTGATTGCCGAGATAGACAGCAAAAAAAGTAAGAACTTTTTGATTACTCGGGAATTTTTTAATAAATGGTGAATTGTTTCTTCTAATTTAGTATTATTTTGCAGGTAAACAGAGTGACAAACTCGTGGTATGCTACATGACAAGCTGGGCATTCTACCGACGTGGTGACGGAAAGTTTGTACCGGAAAATATTGACACAAGACTTTGTACCCATGTCGTCTACGCCTACGCATCGCTCTCCCCTGATGAACTTATCGCGAAAGAGTTCGATCCTTGGGCCGATGTCACTAACAGTGAGTAAAAGTTTACAAAACTATACAATTTTTGTGTTACTATACAATGGTGTTTTGGTGCTTCGAGTTCTGCTTGATAAAATATGTCAAATTATATTTGTTTTTTAGATCTCTACGAGCGCGTTACATCCTTGAAAGATGTTAAAGTTCTCCTTGGTTTGGGAGGCTGGACGGACTCCGCTGGCGATAAATATTCCCGGATGGTATCATCACCGGCATCCCGCAGCAAGTTCATAGAAAAGTTGATTCCATTCTTGCGTATGCACAACTTTAAGGGTCTTCATTTGGATTGGAACTACCCAGTTTGTTGGCAAAGTAATTGTAAAAAGGGAGCTGTTTCTGATAAACCTAATTTCGCTAAATTCGTTCAGGTGCGTAGATTTTATTAAACCATATATATCTCTTGTTCTTGCAACTTTTGAAGATGTTTACGATAAATATTGTTCTCAGGAATTATCCAAAGCGTTGCATGGAGCTGGTATGGAACTTGGTGTCGCCATTTCCGGTTATAAAGAAGTGATCGAGTCCGCATATGATTTACCAGTTTTGTCGAAAGCAGCTGATTTCCTCAGCACTATGACTTATGATTACCATGGTGGTTGGGAGAAGTCTACTGGACACCACACGCCACTGGTTCCAGCTTCTAAAGAAACTCTAGCTCATTATTCCATTGTAAGTCAAATTTTACAACTATAAAAAGAAAAACAATATTATAAATAAATGGTTCGGTAGTTTTCAAATATATTTGTTTTTTAGGAATATGCTATCAAAGCTCTGATAAGTGGAGGAGCAGATCCTAAGAAACTTCTTCTAGGATTATCTTTCTATGGTCAGTCGTATAGACTCAATGACATGAATGGAGCGAAGGGCCCTGGATCACCTGCCGCTGGACCTGGAGAACCAGGAGAGTTTACTAAACAACCTGGAATGTTGGCTTACTATGAAGTATGCTATCGAGGTAAGACTATAAATACTACTTTGTATACTAACTTTGAAACTTTCGCGTTTCATATTTACAAATTACAACATTTAGTTACGCGGGTATTAATGGTTATTTGTATACAATACACATATAGCTTTTCGAAATCTTCGTACACACGTATGATTAACTAGCTACACTCGCGCGGTTTCACCCGCTGCTCAGCTCCGGTTGATTGTGGCGTGATGTTTTATAGCCTATGGCACTCAGGAACATTGTAGCTCAGTGAAAGAATTTTGGGAATACGACCAGCGAGCGGTTCCAAAGATTACCCCCTCCATACAAACTTACAAATTTTATCTCTTAATAATATTAGTATAGATTAATAAAGCATCAATCAGTTGTATACCCAAAAGCGAAAAATAATAAATCATTATTTACAGTGAAAAACTTAAGATGGAAGACAGGCAGACAAGATAATGCCGGCCCTTACACTTATTCAGACAATCAGTGGGTTGGATACGATGACCCCAAATCTATCACTGAGAAGGTTTGTTGCATTCATTTTTTGCTGCGACCGTAGGTAAGCTTATTATCACTTTTCTTTGGAATACAATTCAATTGAAATCTCAAACCGCACGGTGAACTTAATTTAGGTCGGTTATTAGTTTGTAATTGCTTACCATGACGCATCACTTGTGCTGTGCAATCATCATGACTAATTTTATTTATAACTTTTTAATACTGGATGCAAGTCGTATATAAAACGGTTATAATGTGTTCTAAATCTTAATCAAATTGAAATATTCAATTCGGCATCCTCATTACAATAAAGTTACTTTGTCCTTATTTTTTTGTAAATAGCTGCGCTCGGTGCTATGGTGATCAAGCACTGCTTTCCGTATTGATATGATAAGGGTTTGTTGTTTTAAGTTAAAGTCTTCAATTAAAGTGGAAACAGTTATATTCAAATCACAATAGAATTACAACTGGGGAGGCTTATGTCCAGCAGTGGAAAAAATCAGGCTGATTATGCTTCTTTTTTACAATAATTAATAATATGTGAACAGGTGGAATGGGCATTGCGGCAAGGTATGGGCGGTGTGACGGCGTGGGCGATAGACCTGGATGACTTCAGCAACCGTTGTTGTGCTGAGCCATCGCCCCTGCTGCGCGCGGCGGGTCGTGCGCTCGGCAGGAGTGTGCCGGCTCCCCCGACGGCCGCCTGTGAGAGGCCGCCAGAACCTGTCACTCCAGCGGCGCCTACTACCACTGCTGCTGAATCTGATGGTAAATTCCAAAAGTTGCTATCCTTTCGGTTTTTATCGGATACATTTTGGAGAATTTTCAGGGGAGCGACAAGCCTTGATTACCTACCCCCTATCCTTTCCACCGTGGTACCCACCAGATAATCGGCAAAACGTCATAGCTTCATGGTGGATATGTCAGCCACTTACAAAGCAGTTCGCCTCCTGTTTTATAATTAGAATTCTTTTTCTGAAGGGTAACCTGGGTGTCTTCAATCAAGGCCCGAGTGAAAAGGTTACTTATGGGTAGGTGTGATTCATCGTAGGTCGCATCATTGTTTACAAATCCATGCCCATTACGAAATAAAAGAAAAAACACTAAAATAACTCAACATAAGCCTTCAACTCGTTTATTCATTAATAAATAAATTGGTATTTTAATACTATACTTTTAAATTTTTATTTTATTTTCTAAGGTAAAATTAAAGCTAGCTTAAATACGCTTTACTGTTGCAGGATCTGCAGGCGGCAGTCACGACCACCACCACCATGACCACACATCAACAACTTGGCCGAGCTGGAACCCGTCCACCACAACTCCTAGCACCGCCCAGACATGGTGGCCCGCTGCAACCACTCCCATGACCACAACCTCTTCTACAACAACTACCAAACGGCCGACTACTACAAAACGACCGACCACCACAAAACGACCCGCTACTACCACCACCAAAAAGCCAGCAGCTGATTCCGGTAAAATTATGCAACAAAGCCTTACAATACAAAGTAGAAACACAATAAAATTAACTGCAATAAAATTTAAGAAGTAATTATTTAGTGAAAAGGTAGAACAACTAGGGTAGATACACAAATAACATCACATTTTCAGCCTATAAGTGTCCACTGCTGAGCAAAGGTCTATTTTCTCACGCGGAGAAGTTTTGAGCATTAATCATTCTCTCGCCGTTAGCTTCATTGGGGATTTCAAACTTAAAATTATTATTAGAAATTATGAGTCCAGGTTTCCTCACGATGTTTTGCCTTCACTGTACAGCAGTGGTGTCAAAATAATTATAGAAAGTATATACATATAACTCGGTAAAAGTCGCATTGGTATTTGCCAAATTTCATCCGTATGCATAAGAAGCGGGCGCCTTAACCTTCAGACCACCACAAAAACACATCACATTGAAACAAACAGTCAGAAGTACGACACAAATACGGTGCGATACGAACTACAAATACGGTAACTTGAAAAGAGACGGACCTCTGAGTTTGTTTCGACATTTCTTCTCAGAGTAGTCAGATAGGAAAAACCGGCTTCATCTAGTTTTTTACATATAATTTTGACGGGTAAAAGTGTTGTTTTATGGCCTATTTACAAAAATAAATTCATTGTTTCATTGAATATAATATGATGTTGAGATTTTCCATTGCAGGAAGCATAGAAGGTACATCATGCAATGCGGGCGACTACCACGCAGCTCCAGGCGATTGTGAAGGGTACTTGCAATGTGAAGGTGGCGTGTGGCGCAAACATCGCTGTGCTCCAGGCCTACACTGGGCCACCTCCGTCAACCGCTGCGACTGGCCTAGCTTCGCCAAGTGTACTGGTAATTACTCCTTCATAATTTATTAAGACATTATCAATTCAATCATAATGAGTTATGACTTCGACGGCCATAATATATTTATTCATTAAACATTTCAAAATACTTATTAAATACAAATGTAATTATTTCACGAAGTTAGAATTCATAACATTAAATTTGGCAACTTTGCCATCTACGAGTGAATCACTGCAATTTTTTTTATGTGATATGAATACGTATTACCTGATGGTAAGCAATCAGCGCCGCCCATGTTGCGGGTGAACAACGGAAGAGTAACGAATGCGTGGCCGACCTTTGGGATAAGGGTTTTGGGGATTTAGGGATTGGCGAGAGAATTGGGTACGGGAAGGATTATGCCTCCGGTAATCTCCCTCACAAGGCGAAAGACAACGCTGTGGTTGTTTTACGCCGGTTTTCTGTGAGGCAGTGGTATCAATCCGGTCAAAAATGGCTCTCTCACAATTATTATTAAAATATTTGTTTCAGAAACGGCAAGTAGTGAAGCAAGCACTGCCACATCAACGTTGGCTCCAGTGGCCTCCCGTCCGCCCCCGAGGCCGACCACCACTACCACTAAACGTCCTACTACGACTACCACCACGACATCGCGACCGACCACTAAGCCGACCACCATAGGAGTACAAGCAGGTACAAATTATTCACTTATACCATTTGCCGGGGTTGCGGGGGTTAGCGCAATGTGGAACCGCGGCCTTGATCTGGAGCAGGAGAAGGAACGGGAGGGTTTTTTTAGTCAGTAAAAGTCTGAGAAGTCATTTGATGATTTTGCTCTCACAAAAAAGCCTTTTCACCGTTTAAAATAGTAATCTATGAATTATTTTAACAGATGAGGGCCCACAAGAAGGTGACTCGTGTATTGGTGAACAATACAGTTCAGTACCTGGTGACTGCAATGCGTATTTGCATTGTGATGGTACCTCGTGGCACATGCAGCGCTGTGCTCCCGGCCTGCACTGGAGTAACGTGCAGAAACACTGTGATTGGCCCAAGTATGCCAAGTGTGAAGGTGAGTCTTCGATTATCAAATTAAAATGTGTTGGAGATTATAGCCTGACCGTAACCAATATTCATAGCTAACTTGCCATTGTTACTTGGCTCTTTCCTTAATGGCTATGTTTTTTTTATGTAATATGTCGGCAAACGAGCAGACGGATTACCTGATGGTAAGCAATCAGCGCCGCCCATGGACACTCGCAACGGAGGAGCTACTAGTGCGTTGCCGACCTTTTAGGGATTAGGGATTTATGTAGAAATAAATAGCGTCATAGCGACATATTATCGATGTCAGTGCCAACTAGAGCGAAATTTAAAAAAATAGTTTTATTAAAATAGTACCCTTCATTAGAAAACACAACAAGATATTTCGGTTTTAAAATATATTTCACAAATCGTCAAAGACGCTAATTGGCACTCTCAGTTATACATATACTATTATACTGTTGTTCATTCTTGAAAAACTTAAAGCATGTGTTTCTATTTTTCAGTACCAAAATCTACAACAGCAGCTCCTAAACCCACTAGGCCAATGAGGTCGACAACGACGACATCTACAACCACATCAACAACTACCACAAAAGGTTCGTTTTATACAAACCTATACGTTACAGACAGACTATAATATAAAGACCACTTTGAAAGTAACAACCTCAAAATATCTAAATCTATACATTTCTCAACAGCCCCTCCATCAGGATCTTCGTTGGAAGGTTCAACTTGTGGTGGAAACGACATGCATGCTCCCTCAACGACTTGCGATTCGTACCTGCTTTGCGTTGGAGGTCGCTGGCGTAAGCAACTCTGTCCACCTGGTCTTCACTGGGACAAGAGGACGCGACGATGCGACTGGGTCGAATTTGCCATGTGTGAAGGTGAACTATATCTCTAACTCAAAATAATTTTCCTAATGCCAAATTAGTAAAGAAAATTAAGTGTGGGGGAGCCAAGCTTCAGCACGAATGGACCGGCTCGATCGGAGTGATATCAGGGCCTTAAAGAAAACCCTAGTGAACCAAGACTTGCGTTGTGTTTCGCCGTGTGATTGAGGTTACCGGCCTAAATCTCCCCTTATCCTCCCAACATCCTGGATCCTCAAATCCACTATCCATAAATCTCTAACAACTCACAAAAGGCCGGCCATGCATGGGCGGCGCCGATTGCTAACCATCAGGTAATCCGTCTGCTCCGTTTTCGTCTGTTCCATCCGTTTGCCGAACTTTGACATAAAAAGATAGTAATTGTATGTACCTATATACTTCCCAAGTACCCTAATTCATGTTTAATTCCATTCTGTCATCTACTTAATAATTACTTCTGCTTTAATTATTATACAAATGCTTTTAATCCGAACAGTGGGTAAACCTTCCAAGTCAACAACGAGTTCAACGACCACAAGCACGACCACCACTACTACCACTACCACAACGACTACAGCGCGACCGACGACAACCACCAGAAGACCCACGAGACCCACGACTACTAAAAAACCTCTCGCCGACGAAGCTCAAGTGCCTGGAAAGGTATTTGTTTGTAACTTTTAGCATATACCGCTTCACAATATATCACAGGTTTTACTTACCAACTTCTGCCAACGGCTTCGCCCATAGTTCCTAGACAAACAGAAGCTTTTTAGTAGCCTATTTGTTTGACCAGACTAGTAATATATGTCCAAACTCTTTCACTAAAAACTAATTAAATTATAGGAGGATCTATATGAGGTTTATACGTTGATGGTTTCTGTATATTATAATAATCTTTTATAATCTTTCTCCAGGGTTGCAACACAGGCACATATCACGCGCATCCCAAGTGTGAGAAATTCTACGTGTGCGTGAATGGTATGCTGATCACACAAAGCTGTGCGCCAGGCCTCGTGTGGCGGCCAGACCGCAGCCAGTGTGACTTCCCCTCCTCCACTTCATGCACTGACAAGCGACAGAGCGACGCTCCAGTCAGCGACTCCACCAACTCTCAATCCACTATGATGCAGCAGCTTAATGAAGAACCACCCAGTAAGTTATACATTATATGAAACTACTGATTACGTGTGCAACATGTCGTTCCATTTTTTATTACTATAGGTCTACATATTACATATCATATTTTTCAGAATACTGTGAAAGTGGAACATATGCTCAACTGCCATCAGACTGTACACGGTACCTACATTGCTTGTTTGGCAAATTCGAAGAATTCGCTTGTAGTGCTGGATTACACTGGAATCAGGTATTTAAATAATGTCGAATTACGGATTAATCAAAGTAAAATATACCTATATGTATATGTAACAGGGGTCAAATATTAATTATGCATTACTTTATAGGAGAAGCAAATCTGTGACTGGCCTAAGAATGCTAAATGCAAACGTAAGCAAGGTTCTCCTACCACTACAAGTACAACATCAACCACATCCCGTCCAGTCCAAATGGATGCAATTGAACCGGAACATGAACACATCTCGGACCATGACCATGACCATGATCATTCTCACCATGATCATGAGCATTCCCATGCTACACCAACGAAGCCGATAGCTTCCCCATCCAGTGTGACACAACCTGATATAAGTACCAAACCGGCTCTTCTAAATTGTAAGTTCTGTTTGTCACACCAAATAATATCAGAAATAAATAGTTCAAAGACAAACTAATGTAACCGAATATTATTTCCCAGCTCGCTATAAACTGGTATGTTATTACACAAACTGGTCGTGGTATCGCCCTGGTATCGGTAAATACAGTCCAGAGGATATCGACCCAACTCTTTGCACTCATATCGTCTATGGATTCGCCGTTCTCGGAGACGATGGTCTCATTATGGCTCATGACTCCTGGTCGGATATTGATAATGGTAAGTGAAAACATAATCAAAGGCGTTTTGTTAATCACCAATAATTTATTTTATTAACAACGTCATAAAGGATGTACTCAATCACAAAATTATATCAATACTTCCAGGTTTCTATGAAAAAGTAGTTGAGTACAAACGATATGGCATCAAAGTATCGTTAGCTATCGGTGGCTGGAATGACTCGGCCGGCGACAAGTATTCTAAGCTGGTCAACGACCCGGCGGCTCGCGCCCGATTCGTTTCACACGTCGTGCAATTCCTCAAAAAGTATGGCTTCGATGGATTGGATCTTGACTGGGAATATCCTAAGTGCTGGCAGGTAAGATTGAGAAACACACTTTTGCTTCTTCATCATTTCAGTGCATAACCGTTTTGAATTAAAATGGCAAAATTTTAATTAACTCCTTCAAATAGTAAGTCAATTATTAATTCTAAATATTTTATTGTTCAAAGGTTGATTGCTCCAAGGGTCCTGACTCTGATAAAGAAGCTTTTGCTGACCTAGTTCTTGAGCTGTCTGCGGTATTCAAGCCAAAGGGTCTGCTTTTGTCAGCGGCCGTATCTCCTAACAAGAAGGTCATCGACGCAGGTTACGATGTTCCTGTATTGGCTCGCCACCTCGACTGGATCGCTGTAATGACATACGACTATCATGGTCAATGGGACAAGAGAACTGGCCATGTCGCTCCTTTGTACTACCATCCTGAAGATGGTACGACCTACTTTAATGCGGTATGTTTTGTTTTAATTGGCGACGCAATTTAATGATTTGGAATATTATTGACTCATAAAATTATCATTTTTTATCCAATAACAGAACTACACTATCCACTACTGGATGAAAAAGGGGGCTCCAGCGCACAAACTTATCATGGGAATGCCAATGTACGGTCAGACGTTTACGTTGGGCACCGAAAAAGAATCCCCACAGAGTCTCAGTATGAACATCGAAAATACTGGTTTGAATGCACCAGCTTCAGATGGTGGAGAAGCTGGAGAATACACCAGAGCTAAAGGTTTCTTGTCTTACTACGAGGTAAGGATTCACAATAATACATATATTGAATATACTTACTACCAAAATTAAAATATTATTAAAATGCTGTTGTTATAAAATTTAGATTTGCGACCGCATCAGATACAATGGATGGAAGGTAGTTAAAGACCCTTACCAGCGAATGGGTCCATACGCATATAAGGATAACCAATGGGTATCATTCGACGACGTCGAAATTATCAAAAAGAAAGTGAACTTCATAAAATCATTAAACCTTGGAGGTGGTATGGTCTGGGCACTTGATCTAGATGATTTCAAAAATAGGTAAGTACAATAGAATAAAATTGTTCGAACCCGTGTTGTTGTAACTAACATTACAAACCTAGTAAACAAAAAATAATTTGTTTATTTTAGATGTGGTCAAGGAAAACACCCGCTTGTCAACGCAATCAAGAATGGTTTACTGGATTCCAAAGTAGAAGAAGATACAATCTTGTCTGACCCAATAATTGAACCTCCAAACGAAATAGATGAAGATCCAGATGACATTCAAGTACGTCCTACCAAAAAACCAACACCAAGGCCCACACAGATGACGACACAATGGCAAACTACAGCGCTCACGACCACCACTAAGAGACCCGTGACTACTGTCAGTACTAATTTGGAAGATCGTTACAAGGTGGTCTGCTATTACACCAACTGGGCTTGGTACAGGTAAATAAATAAAATACTTTACGTCTCTACTTTTGTTAAATTTGCTAGAACTGACAATTATTAGAATAATTGTAGCATAACAGCTTTTCCACAATATTGTAATAAAAACTATTTTTCATCTAGACCTGGTCCAGGAAAATTCACACCCAGCGACATCGACCCCTCACTTTGTACCCACATTGTGTATGCTTTTGCGGTCCTTGATACTAAACGCCTGGTAATTAAACCACATGACATTTGGCTGGATGTTGAAAACAGTAAGTAGCGCACTTTTACAATAATTCAGGTTTTGGTATGTCTATGATATTAATTGACTTTTCGCTATCCGTACAGAATTCTACGAAAAGGTAGTGTCTCTAAAACAGAAAGGCGTAAAAGTGGTCCTTGGAATCGGAGGATGGGATGACTCGGCAAGTGACAAATACTCACGAATGGTTAATAGTCCATCAGCACGAAGGAAGTTTGTAATTCACGCTGTAGACTTTATCGAACAGTACGAATTTGACGGATTGAATCTTGATTGGGAGTACCCCAAGTGCTGGCAAGTGAGTATTAACTCATATGACGTACTAATGTTATTACAAATTGTCAATGACTCCAGAGAATGCACCTGATTATTGATGTATTATATTTTAGGTGAACTGTGAAAGGGGTCCAAGCTCCGACAAACAAGGTTTTGCCAATCTTGTGAAGGAACTTCGTGCAGCATTCAGACCCAGAGGACTAACACTATCCGCAGCAGTCTCGGCTAGCAAACGCGTTATAGATGCTGGTAAGTCAAACTTTGTATTATAAATGATTATAAGGAATTTTTATTCTATCCTCAAATCCTATATAAACGTAGCTTACACCCGTATGTATAAATATGATTAATGTGGTTTGCAAGATAAATAAGTATTGTTTTGTAGCTTACGACGTTGCCACGCTTTCCAAAAACCTTGATTGGATTTCTTTGATGACTTATGATTACCACGGCCAATGGGACAAGAAGACTGGACACTTATCCCCAATGTATGCCAGTGAAGTGGATGAAGATAAGACTTTGAATACGGTAAATATATAAAAAAACAAATAAATATTTTAAGATAAGTTTTAAAAATGTTAAAAAAACTGAGAAATGATATTTATTTCACAGAACTTTACGGTGAACTACTGGATTAACAAAGGAGCATCTCCTGAGAAGCTCATATTAGGTGTGCCATTCTACGGTCAATCATTCTCACTGGAAGAGAATGCAGGATCCGGACTCGGAGCACCTTCTTATGCAGGTGGAGAGGCTGGCGATGAAACGAGAGCTCGAGGATTCTTGTCATTCTACGAAGTTAGTAGGGCATAAATAATATTTAAATAGTACAATTATTGCAATGCAAAAGAGTTATTTAACTTAATCATTAATTTTGCCAGATATGCGACCGTATCAGGATGAAGGGTTGGAAGGTATCCCGAGACCCAGGAGGCCGTATGGGACCTTATGCCAGCTTTGAAGATCAATGGGTTTCGTTTGACGATGACTTTATGGTACGCCACAAGGCAGAGTATGTTCGCTCTATGGGACTGGGAGGAAGCATGGCGTGGTCCCTTGACCTTGATGACTTTAGCGGAAAGAATTGCGGTTGTGGAAAATCTCCTCTGCTAGCTACTATTAATCATGTGCTGAGAGGTCTGGAAGCACCACCGAGATGCCCGCTTGAAGAATGTAAGTCAAAAAAACAATTCTTTTCTTTAATAAAACTAAATGCATTTCGATGTTTAAGGGTATTGTTTTTCATTTACCGTACGTATAATTTTATCAAATATAACAAAATTTCACGATTCATATAATTTACTTTTATACTTTTAGTGCAAGCCGATACTACGGATACATCAGAGGTTCCAGAAATCGAAGTGCCAGAACCAGATGATATACCAGCAATCGCTGTCGAAGAAGTAGATACTGACTCTAACACTGATATCGATACAGATCCAAACACTAATACCGATACCAACACGGATGTGGATATAGTTGAAAATAGTGTAAGTGTAAAATATAAATGTACCAAATTATAAAAAAAAAATAGTAAGAAAAATTGATTAATATTTATCGTGTTATTAAACAGGGTCCAAGTCTTGAAGGTGGTTCATGTTCAGGAAATGTATTCAAATCTGACGAGAACAAATGCAGCAAATACTACTTGTGCCTTAATGGTCGCTGGATGCAATTAGAATGCCCTGCGCCTTTACACTGGCATAAGGTAAAATTGATTTCTTAGGCATTAACCAGTTGTAAATAAAATTTAATTAAGACAATAAATAAAATGCGTAATAACATTTTTACAGAACCATTGTGACTGGCCTGAAAAAGCTCAGTGCAGAACGAAGGGTGGACTACGAATTGGGGGCATAGAGCCGGAAGAAATAGAAGAAGACAAGTCTATCGTTGGCTGCTACTTCACAAATTGGGCTTTCTATAGGTAACAACGACAATACTGTACCACATTTATGTATATTATTATGTTTTGTATGTTTTGAAAATAGTGCCTTTGGGCAACCTACCCAAATGTTCTTTCAGTTGATAAAATTCGTCAGATCCTTGGGCACATATTTCCATTAACCTGTTCATCACCTCATCATAATTTATGTGCATATTTTTAATTTCAGGCCTGGTAAAGGTAGTTTTGGACCAGAACAAGTAAACCCATCTCTATGTACACACATTATATACGCATGGGCACATCTTGATGGCAATTCCTTTAATTTGGTACCTGGGAACTCCGAACTTGATCTTGAAAATGGTATGTAAAATTCAAAATAGTACTTACTAAGGGTAAAATCTTTCTTCTCCAGATTCCTAAAGTTATGTTTCTTGTTTCAGACTTCTACGGCAAGCTAACACAGCTGAGACAAACTGGTGTCAAAATTATTATTGGTGCTGGTGGCCTTACGGATTCTGAAAGCAGAAAATGGAGCGTAATGGTATCAAGTCCTGAAAATAGAAAGACATTTGTGGAGTCCGTATTGAAATTCTTGCAAAGATGGCACTTCGATGGTATTCAGGTTGCTTGGCAGTATCCAGGATGCCGACAGGTATATCTTTTTGGGTTTATTTTAATCTTGCATCTGAATTATTGGAATCGTTTTTGAATGTTTTTTTTTCTATTTTAGACTCCATGCACCAAGGAATCTTTCGACTATAAAGAGAGGGACAATTTCGCCAACTTGTTGTCCGAGTTATCAAGGAAGCTTCGTTCTCACGACCTTGAGATATCAGCCATGGTCACCGCTTCGCCAGAAATCGCACAATTAGCGTACAAACCTCATATCCTAGCTTCAGAATTGGACTGGGTCGCTATTGCTGCCAATGATTACTATGCATCGTCCACGGGAAAGACGTCATATTTAGTGCCACTACAGTCTAGCCACGGAAGCAATAGCTTGGTAAGCTAATGAAATAATCTCTATAATAAACATACTACGTAATAGTTACGTGTTTGAATAAATGCCTCGTCTAACTGTTAGAGGATCGAAACTATAGAGTGTAATGACTCATTAAAAAATCAGAACAAATTAACGTCATCAGAGCTAAGTCGTACACAGTACGCACGTTCTTTATAATAATAACTTTCAAACATTAATGTTAATATTTTGTCTGCAGAACGCATCCCTATCATTCTGGACGCACGCATTGCCTCCTCGGCATGTGGTGCTTGGTATACCAGGGTATGGTCGCTCGTACACTCTACGCAGCGCGTCTAACAGCGCACTGGGAGCTCCTGTCACCGGCCCTGGAGAACCTGGACCTTACACACGTGTACCAGGCCTCCTAGCCTACTATGAGGTCAGTTTTCATTATTATTTATATTATCGAGCACATTGCTACATTCTAAAGTATTCTTAATTATTTTAATAGCTACATGATAACTTATGGAAATATTTTCCGTTATACGTTTTAGATAAATAGACATAAGAGTAACAATCAGGAGATAGATCATATCTATAGATAAGATAGTGAAGGCCTACTTTTAGTGCTCTTGTTAGCGCTATAAGTGTTGATAAATGTCATTGGATCGAAATTGTTTGGTAGGGTTGATTCTTGTTTCCATACTACATCATAGCAGAATCGGAACTTTAAGTCCATACAAATCAATAACAAATTATTTTTGCCAGATTGCGGATGGTTTAGCGAGTCGCCAATGGAAGGAGAGTCGAACTTCTGAGGGCACCTTCAGCGTCCGCGGTGGACAATGGGCATCGTATCTGAACGTGGCGGACGTACGAAGCATAGGCGCAGCAGCAAGACGAGCTGGTGCCCGTGGTGTGGCACTCTGGGCCCTCGACCTGGACGTCAGAGGGGATTGCTCACTACTGAATGCCATGCGCCGCGGTCTTATCGAACCTGAACTACCTCTCGAGCAGTGTGCACCTGCCGCCTAAGCATAACACTGGAGTACCCAGAAACCTGTAGTATGTTAAAGCGGTGACTTCTCTGTGAGGTACCGATTATGAGACTGTCGTGTGGGTGCTCGGTCAAGACTTTAGTTTATAGGTACTTAACTATAATTAGATACATATTTCATTGTGATATTTTTAATACGTAGGTGAATTTATATCTACCTATTCATATGTGCGTAGTTCTCGCGTAAATTCCTTGATTTTTACTTGACGGTCAGTTAATTTAAAGGTAGATTATTTTTTGTACTTTGTACCTTAAAAGTATTTAACGATGTATCATGTACTGATTAGGATCAAAATTCCGATTTAAGTGAAAGTGCAAGGAATTAAGATAAAATTATATTTTGATAAATAAAATATAAAACTACTTTTGTACATGTTTTTTATAAAATTGAATTTTCTTGGAGTCAATATAATGAATCGCAGGTAATATGAATAGTTACCAAACACAAACGTACTGCGTATAGCGCGTATGGTATAATGATGCTGACATAATTAATTAAACACCGCACATTTTGTCTGATAATAAAAAGATTACTTTAATTATATACGGTATTTTTATTTATCACTGAGTAAGTAAATGCTTTAATATTAACATTTAGCTTCACACTGAACTAGTACTACTAGCTACTCCTAAGCAGATTTACCCGCTGCTCGGTGCCTATTGGACGTGATGACGTGATGTTTTATCCAACACAAAAAATACAAGAGAGGAGTTCCTGAGTGCGCGTTCCCACTAACAAACTCTTCAGCTTTATAATATTAGTACAGAGGGCCTAGGATTGACGTGATAAAGCGTGAATCTTCCGGGCGAGAAAGAGGGATGGAACTATACACATAGCTACTGTTTTTTAATTTTAGCCTTGAGTTTCATAATAATAATTCTCAGTTAAAACAGGAAAATACTTACCTACACTTAGGCAAAGGCTACATTTCAATGTGGTACTGGTTGCGAATAATCTTGACCTAGTGGCGTAATGCACAAAAATGTGTGTGTGTGTGTGTGTGTGTGAATTACGTTTTAATTAATCTGAGTTAAGTATTCTAAATAAATCTATACACCGATACAATGTATACATAATTTGAATAAATTGTCAGTAGGAACATAAAGAAACTGACAATACGTATTTTATGGGTTGTAACCAGTGTTCACATTTAAATTAAAATAATTGAGGGGCATTTTTTAATCCGTACTCAGTTGAATAAAATTTTAAAAATGCATTAGGCAATTCTCATGTGTCGTGGGTGCGTTTACAACACGTTGCATAGCAGCCAGTAGCCCACTTGCCCATATATAAGTGTGGGAGAGCCATGCTTCGGCACGAATGGGTCGGCTCGACCGGAGTGATACCACGGCCTCACAGAAAACCGGCGTGAAATAACCACTGCGTTGTGTTTCGCCGTGTGAGTGAGGTTACTGGAGGCCCAATCCTTCCCCTTCCCCAATCAAAGGTCGGCAACGCACTCGTAACTCCTCCGTTGCGAGTTTGCCGACCTATTACATAATATATATATATATTTCGAACGAACGAAACTTCTTTATCCGGGCAGTTTATACCTAAATAACATCTGGTACATTATTATAATACATAAAAATAACTATTAAATAGTACTATCAAAAAAATAAGGTCCTTACTAACCTAGTTAAGACAGTACATTGGTAGATGACATAAAAATATTTTATCATATAGGTAAGTAACTACCTACTCCATCAGACTAGCGCCACCCATAAGACCTTGACGTCATACAATTACATCACCTGAATGATTCGCAAAGATATGCCCAGACATCGTTATCGTGACTATATTTTTCACACAAATACATTATGCTGCGTCATGACGCAACGACTAACTTAACGCTTCCCCGTTATCTAAACAGTCTTAAGTTCGAAGTACAAAATCCAGCGACTGATGAAAAGCCCCATTTATTATATTTAGACAGCCAAGGTCATCGAACCGCTAAACAGATTATATACTTATTCCTTGCATATTGAACATAAACTAATACGAATACATAAATATAATACGTACAAATAGGTAGGTATAGTATCAATTTTTACACTTGATAAGATACGTCCAAGTGTGAACACTAATAAATCCTACTTATATTAGATACTGGAACTCGATTATAATGCCGTAACTCCGAGAGTCCAAACTCCACCCAGTTTGACAATTCATTCATAATATAGAACACGTCGCGCCGGTTTCATAAACCAGCTCACTTTTGTCCTAAATTACAAATATACCTAACAAAAGTGAATAAAATAATCGTTATTGTAATTTGTATTATATCAAGTAGATGGTAACTAAAGAAAAATAATCAAAATAACCTCTTAGAACTGCGTTGAACTTGTACTTATCTGACAAAATATGACTGTGTTAACAATTGACTTATTATAAAAATAACTCACCTTTTACAAAACAAAATATTAAATGTTATGTGATTATTTTTTCAAATGAAACAACGAAACATGACTAAACTTTTCCGCACAATTTTGACAACGAACGCGCCAAAATTCGTATCAACTCCTACTTTTATAAGAAAACTGAACACTCAGGTAAGTAAATACCTCTAAGTATTTATTTTATTGATAATAAATCATTATGTTACTGTTAAATAGCTTTGTTTGCTCATTGAAAAATTGAAGTGACTAAGTATGACAATAGACGAAGAGATTATTTACCTATGTAAATTAAATATTTAAATTGAAAATATGCATAATAAATTAATTTAGACGCGTAACTTTTTCTAAACCATGTAGGTCAATGACAAATGACTACTTTGGAGAATAGTGAACTTTGAACCGTGTAGCGAAATAAAAAGTTTCAAATAGAAAGGCATTTTTCATTTATTCTGTTACTTTTTCCAACAGATTCCTACTAAAGAAGTACAGATACCAGTGCAATATGGTCATATTGCCGGGAAGCTATGGGGTAGCGGTGACAAGCGACCTATCCTGGCATTACATGGATGGCAAGACAATGCAGGCACCTGGGACCCCCTGATCCCCATGATCATAAAAGACAGACCGATATTAGCTCTGGACTTCCCTGGACACGGATTTTCATCTTGGACACCTGGTAAATAATATTAGTACAACTCTCGCCTTAGTATTTACAAATAATGGGCACATTGAAACAATTTTTTTTTTTACAGGTCTAACATACAACGAATGGGAATGGCCAAGATTAATTTTGTATCTTAAAGAATACTTCAAATGGGATAAAGTTTCCATTCTATCACACTCTATGGGCGCAATAGCTGCAACGCGATTCGCGAGCGTGTTTCCCGAAGACATCGATTTTTACATAGCAATAGATAGTTTTATATTAGAAAACGTTAATACAAATACTTTAGTAGAAAAAATATATCCAAAATTACTACAAAAGGCATTTGTCACTGATCATTGGCTGGACAAAGAACCTCCGTCTTACACGTTAGAAGAAATAACAAACACGTGGCACTTAGCAACGAGGAAGTCTATAGCATTAGACAGTGTTAAGCATCTGATCAAAAGAGGTGTGAAGCAGTCGAAAACCGATCCTAATAAATATTATTTCTCCCGAGATCCGAGGCTAAAGTACGTGATCCTCATTCCTGAAGACAGAAAGTTTACAGAAGCCCTTGTGCGAAGGATAAAATGCCCAATGCTATTCCTGAAAGCGACAGACTCTCCGTTTTCAGCCGGCAAATTTTCTATTGCAATGCGTGAAATGATAGAGAAACAGAACGATAAATACGAATTTCATTTCGTACCCGGAAAACATCACGTTCATTTGAATAATCCTGAACTGGTAGCTCCTCTAATTAATAATTTCTTAAAGAAACATAAATTGGAAGCTTAAATTTAAATATCCTACTAACAATGAAAATTACATTTCTGATTCTCCGATGAACAGCTTACAACATGTTATGTGCGCCGAAATATTTTATGAGATTCCAACACTCAGAAGAGGATGAAACCTGGTTAGAGTCTCATGAGCCGTTTTGAATGCCCCAAAATTAATAATATAAGAGATCCTCGTTCCCGTCTCGCTCTCTGCCTATGGCCACTTGCGCCCTAAGCCCTTGCTTATTTGCCTTAGGGATAATACGGCTCTGGGTTCACTTATTATTAATATCACCTATGTTAATTAATTATGACGAATAGAGAATCAGTAAAAGATACTGATTTGATCCTGTGATTACAACAAAATTAATCCAGGCTGGGTTTAATTTGCATACGATTTTACAAAAAGTATAACTAGGTACTTATCATTTATGTATAGATGATATTGATGAAGTGCAATTATCTGATAATTTAGATACTGGGAACAACCGAGCTTCCTAATAAACTATCTACGATAGGTGCCATCTCGTTCTGTATTATAATTGTAATTCGTTAATAATTGTTTTTTAGATGTAGGTACCTAATTTAAATAAATATTTTTTATAAAAAAACTTACTACGTAATTGTTTTATTTTTGTTACTTCTTCAATTATGATATAATTATATTATCTAGCTCTACTAAACTACTAAAATTTTATGGTCAAAGAGAGCATATCATGGGATTGTCTGTCACGCAATTCTAATTCAGCGATTAAAGTAATCGTAATAATATAATATTTACAATACCTTGTTTCTTTAAACAATATCACAAAGAATTATTAATTCAGTCGTATATACAAAACTGCAGATGTTGGTCTCTACCTCAGCCCTAATATGTACCTAGCCCTACCTACGTTCGTCACGACTTACGTCTACACTTTACGCGATATTTCAGGTCTTCAGGTCGATGTGATATTTCAAATTAATATTACGTCGAAAAAAAAGTCGTCATATCACCCCTTTTAAAAGTAGTTTAGAGCATAGTTTTTTTTATAAAAACTGGTGTAGTTTTAGGTACTGTGTACTTCCTTTCTTTGATAGAAACGATATGATCCTAACCACAGACTAATAATGTTATTAGTCCACGCCCTAACCAACCCCAGAGATGAGATAACTTTTGTCAGTAAAATACCCTTGGCAATGTAATAATAATAAAAAAATTATTATTAAAAAAACAAAATACCCGACTGCACACCAACAGAGGCTTATTTATAGTCATTTCTGTTGTGCACCATTTAGCAGAATTTTCGTTGGTGGCGGTCAAGGTGGTCCCCGCCTGCGATGCTTTCCATCAACATTTATAAATTATATTCAGTAAATTTGTATTGTGGGGCTTGTTTTACTCTTTTTTTAGTGTGCAGTCGGGTATTTTGTTTTTTTAATAATAATTTTTTTATTTATAACTTTTTAGCTGTTTTTATTTAACGAAAATGTTGTAGATGTAGAAGACTATGTATATGTAAGTACCATCCGCACCGCGCCGCGCGCCGCATGCCAGGCCACGCCCTATCTTTTTGCTTGCTAACGCATGAGTTGCTTTGCGTTGACGCAGAATTAACATGTTCCCGTGGGAATTTTGAGAAAAAACGTATCCTATATTAATTACTCCCGTGATTGAAATGAATCTAATGATACCGCATACATATTTTTTTAAAGGGAAATTTAGAAAAAATATTATTTTGTCTATATCCCGTGGGACTTTTAGGATAAAATGTATCCTATGACACTCCCGTAATCAAGACAAATCTAACGATACCTCATACATCAAAATCCATCAAGCCGTTTAGGCTACAGGAGGTCACAAAGGAAAAGACATACATACATACTTACATACACTCGAAAAACATTACCCTCCTTCTTTGGCAGTCGGGTAAAAATGACAGATGCAGGACGTTCACATAAGCGGAAGAAATTACGATCTTCGTGCAGATAACTTGTGCTGGATAAATAAGATAATTTGTGCTAGATAACTTTGAAAATTTTACAAAATTTATATCTATAAAACAATGGCTCTCAATACATATCGTAGAAAATCATCATAACTAGGGCTGTAACGTTTACTATGAGTTCAAAGTCCAATTCTGTGTAACTGTATTGAATCGTACAAAACACAGAGCGCGGCCTTGGCAATGTTATTCTTGCGCGGTGGCCGGCGCGTCACTCGTGTTCATGAAACCCGTCTAATGTGTAACAAGTGTAGTGAAATATCTTTAGATATTGTGCAAATATTATATAACTCAATTGTTAAAGTACACTTCAGATATTTTAATATAGGTACATGAAGTGGAACATCTACCCACACTGACTCGTGACAGTTTGTGATCGATAAAAATTATAACCTCTCTCTCAACAATTTTGACATGTAGAGAAATTGAAAACAAGAGAAGTGAATCGATATTTTTTTTAAGTTTTATCTGTGTTGACGTAAAACCACCTGGGACCGGAATCATGGCCAAACGCTTGTTATGCCGCATGATTTTGAACTCTAATACAACCACAATAAAATCGTCGTTGCTAGTACTCAGTAAAAAATTGCATAGTCAGGTGAGTTACGTTTGAATTAATTATTACAGATACTTAAGTTTTTCTTTTCATATAGTTATTACGAAATCGATATTTTATTTTAACCATTATTTAAAATCGTGAAGGGTTTTACCCATTCATTTTTAATGTTGGAACTAAAAACCGTTAACTATCAGCTGATCAGATTATATTGTGCCTTTACCTAACGCTGATCACTAGATCATGGCCATTCTTATTATCTTTTTTCACATAAATGTGTGTACTAAGAAAAGAACTTGAATGATGGATGACTAAGGAAATATTTTTCATTTAATATTATTTTACATAATATAGGTAATAAATAATAGCTATTTAAACTACTTAGCAAAAATAGGATAATAGTTTTTGTTTGTAAATAAATATAAAAGTAGTAAAACCCTAACTTTTATTAAATACGCCGTTAGTATTTAATAAAAGTTAGGGTTTTACTACCACCTCCGCTTCGCACGGGTCAACTATCTCGCTAACAATGTAAGGGTCTCTTTTCCCCAATTTTCCCCTCTACTTTTCTAATATAGAAAATATTAGAAAAGTAGAGGGATCATAAGAACCTTCTCCTGATAATAATAAATACAAAATAAAAGGATTTGGTAAAATTGGTCCAGTCGTTTTTGAGTTATGCGTTTACCAACACATTTTGCGATTCATTTTTATATTATATATTAGTATTGATGCATAAACTGACTATATTCTTAAATGAACAGGTACCAACTAAAGAAATCCAGATCCCTGTTAAGTTTGGTCATATTGCGGGAAAGCTATGGGGCAACAGTAACGAGCGACCAATCCTGGCATTACATGGATGGCAAGACAATGCAGGGACCTGGGACCCCCTGATCCCCATGATCATAAAAGACAGACCGATACTGGCTCTGGACTTCCCTGGACACGGATTTTCATCGTGGATTCCTCCTGGTAATTTTTAAACACATCTGCTATGGATTGCTTTCGAAACTTAACATTTGCGTTACGCGTAGAGTATCAACTAATATAGAATGGTATTATAAGTCAAATAATGATAAATATTTTTTAATCTAGTATCACCTAAACATGTTGTGTAGGTATAGAATCATCAAGACAATGAACAAAAAATAACTATAGCATCTAAGAATTTGTTAATGAGAAAATAATTTTCCATAAATTGTTTTTGTTAATTTTATGTTTTGACTTTTAAAAACGTTACTTTTCTTTCTTTTTTCAGATATGCAGTACTACCAGTGGGAATTGCCGAGAATTATTTTGTATCTGAAAGAATACTTCAAAATGGAGAAAGTATCAATATTATCCCATTCTATGGGAGCGATAGCTTCCATGCGTTTTGCATCTGTGTTCCCAGATGACGTTGATTTTTACATTGCTGTAGACAGCCTTATTTACGACGATTACGATTTAGATGCCGTAGTAAGTAAAATTTCCAAAACAATGAAAAAAGCTTTAATAGCCCAGACACGGCTTAATGATGAGCCACCAGGATACACTTTAGAAGAAATTACTAAAATATGGCATTTGGGCACAAGGAAGTCTGTGGCTTTGGAAAGTGTTCAGCACTTACTGAAAAGGGGAATAAAACCAACAAAAGCGGATCCCAATAAGTATTATTTCTCTCGAGACTCAAGACTCAAGTATACATTGTTCAATCCAGAGGATAAAAAATTTGTTGAAGCCCTCGTGAGGAGACTGAAATGTCCGACGTTGTATATCAAAGCAATAGACTCTCCATATTCTGCTGACGCTTATTCTATAGAAATGCGCGAAATCTTAGAGCAAAACAATGAAAACTATGAATTTCATTTTGTACCCGGTACACATCATGTTCACTTAAACAATCCCGAATTAGTAGCTCCTCTTATTAAAAATTTCATTAGAAATCATAACTTAAGTCTTTAAATGATTATGCTATCATTTATGTTACACAATTAATTTATGTCTGTAGAAAGAAACCAGGGTCAGTATTGTTTTCCGATACTTACTCAAATACGTTATTTATTCTTCAATGTTGTTTTTATTGTGTGTTGCACAAAGTTATTTTATATGCATTTTTTCAAGCATTATAAAAATATAAGAAAATAACTACATACACATGAATTAAATGAGAAAAATTCGACTAGTTTCAAATCACGTATCGCGTTTCTTGCGTTTTTAAAGCCGTGGGCGTCGCCGTCGCGTCGCAGAGAAATCGTGCAGCTGGCTGAGTCCACGCGATAGGCTTGAAACTAGTCTCTCAGTCAATTCACAAAATCCGTATTTTCAATAAATTGAGTGAGTTTGTCTCACTGCGCTAATTATAAAAATATATATATAATTATTGTAATTTTTTGATATTCATGTTGCTTAGGAATGTATCTGTTCAATCTAGTTACAAACGTTAAATGCTACAAATAAAATACACTAGTCATATTTGTTGTTACATTCTAAATAAATACCATATTATGTAGATATGTTTAATATAAATAAATTTAATATTTTTTACATATAAAAGACATAATTAATCATAAAAACTACAGATAATGTATACTTTTAGTATAAATCAATTTGAGGTTTCACTAGTACATGAAATGTCTAAACTGGAATTACTAACACTGTCACAAACATGTGCACCTTTTCTTAGAGGCAGAACTTTCAAAAGTGCATCTTGCCACGGCACTCCTTCACATACTCGTAGGACAATCTCAAACACTGTGAAAAGAAAAAAGATATTATTTTATATGTGTTGTCCTTGTTAAGGTTTTTAAGATAAAAATAGTGTGTATAGACTTCTAACTTAAGTTGCTATTTACCATGATCAATTGTCAGCACTTTTCTAGTTTTCATGTTGATGTATTTATCCAATGGTAGTTGTGCATGTCTTATACCTTGTTCTACAGCTATTTTATGGCAGAGGCCCTGAAACAACATTTATTTGTATTTATTAAATAAGTACTACCACATAAAAGTGTAAAAAGTGTAAACCTTTGGTATGCCAGTACCAGAATACAAATGTAAGCACAACACAATGTATTTTTGATTGTGTATTATACAAATTTGTATATTTTTCTAATATTCTGTCTGTGTTCCTTCTAGAAATTAGCTACCAATGGACCTCATTACACATAGTCAGTTTACATCAGTTTCTACTGTAAGGAATCATATCTGTAGTAAGCATCACATAATTTATGCATTGTTATATCAATTACATCTAGCACACACATAGTTGCCAGACAGAATAGTCAATAATAAGTGAACAAAATTATTATAAATTCCAGGCCATATTTGGGGTTTCCATATAAACTCTCAAGACCAAAATCTGGTAAAAATGTACTTTATAAGGTTTCAGACATTACTATAATATATTTTGTATTCAAGCTTGGTTTGGTAGTTGCATGATTTTGGACTTGAAAGAATTGATGAAAACCAATACTATGTAAATACTATTGATGTTACTAAAAACATTTTTATTTAGTTAGTAGTAGCAGTAGCGAGTTGCTAATTGATTACTTTTTTCCAAAAAAAAAAAAGGAATGTATAAAGTTAGTATGACTGCTACATAAACAAATACAGATTTTTATTTATTTTCAGACCAAGTGATTTATATGATTCACTTCAAGATTTTAATTTTAGCTTTATATAGTACTTAATTGATATGTAATACCTTATGTTTATTATGATCTACAAGGCCTCCAATAATATAAGCTGTGTTCTCTTCAAATTCTTCAATCACATTGTCAGATTCGCTTGTTAAATATACTATTTTGTCCTTCGGAAACACTTCCAGGTATGATACTTCATGAAAGTCTATCTGTAAAAATATTCACTCATGTTTAATTGCTATAGCAAAAAAAGGGTTTGATATTATTTATGTTTGGACAATTGCAAGAAAATGTTATACTTGTATGTTGTTATAATTTATGAATAAAGAGAAATTTATTCAAAACAGTTTTTTTTTCAACTATTAAAATAACAACCCACTAACATCCCAATGTTCATATCCATTATGTCTGGACATGTCACTTCTAGACCTTTCTCCAAAACTTGTTATATGGAACTGAATTGGTGTTTCCGACCTTCTATTTATTGAGTAACAGCGTAGAATTTGTTTTATTACTTTAAATCTGTCTTTTTCCGTCATTAAATGATCAAAACCGAGATCTATTACAATTGAAATGTTTTTTTTCGGTCTCTCTAACTTCATTTTCTTCAATACCTTCCTATTGGGACCTAGAACAACATTAGCTTCTCGTGCCTGCTTCCGCCTTTCTTTGGCTCTTGCTTTTTCTTTAGCACGTTTCTCCGCTTTGCGGTTTTCCCATTTTACTTTTTTTAACCATTTGCGCATTTGATTTTTTGTAAAAGGTCTTGGAAGCTCATTTCCTTCGTCGTCTTTCAGACCCGAGTCTATTCTTATATCAAATAATGTAAATTGAGGAAAATTATTGTCCTCCTGCCCATTATTGGCACATGGTTCATCTTGCATATTAATTATTTCAGTGTCACCCATTTCAACACTATTCTTAAAATAATATTTTTCTTATAGCTGTTGTGAGGAAGACAACAAACAATCTTCCACGTGTTCTCACTTTTTAGTGCTATTTCATAGCCACAGAGTAACGTATCAGTTCATTATCTTCAAAAATATTAACACTTTAAAACCAAATATGGTATTGTATTTTGATAAATAAATATTTCAGCGATTAATTTATAATCTTTGAGGTTATAGGATTGTATTCAATTTTGAATGATTGTCAATGTCAATTTGTCAATTGTCAATACTGTCACGAGTGTCGAACTAGCGCTTCAAAAACTAAACAACAAAACGTTATAGCTTTTTTATTGTCTTGTTACAAATGAAATCAAAGTACTATGTTTGTAGTTTTGTAGAATAATTTTATTTGTGCTGATAAATTTCTTAATAGTAGAAAACCTACATAATAATAATAAACCTAATAATTGCCTCTGTGTCGCTACATGCTAGCGGCCGTTTCTGGAGGCCCATTAATTGAGTTTGCCAGTCACCCCTGCCTGTTTATTCGTATGTATCAATATTGGTCAGGGGCAGGGGCCATAGTATTTCCATAGTTATCATATCCACCAGTCCGTAGGTACCCATACCCATAACCCTTTCAATTATCACCACAATTCGCAATAGTCCTGCATCAACTGGGGATTATCCTTGGGTTCACTTTCATAGTGCATACAAGGATAATTGCCAGCTGATGTCCCATTTCACTTAAATTAAAGTTGTTAAACGGGCCTCTGCGAGTTGGCTTCGGCTCCTCGTACGCCTTCCAAAGGTCCGGGTTCCTGTGACCCCTTTAACGAACCTACATAATAATAATAAACTTTTCACACTAGGAACTACATTCGATGTGACGGAAAACAATGTTAAAACATCCTAAGTCATCGAGCCCTAAAATATTGCTGCTAATCCTATACTTACACATGTCAAAAACAAAACACAATGTAACTACCTCTACTATTTTGATAACTGTTTAACCTCTACAGATAAGGAAAAGATAATTAGCGATATTTAACTATGCTCTCCTTTCAAATTATCTCGAGTTCATTCGGTGAAAATAATGTCTACAGTAAGTACATATGTATCTTGCATGAGATTTATTTATTCAATTTACAATTTACTATAGTTCTGGTTGTTCTTCCAACGTTGCTTTAGAATAGGTATCAATTATGGGGAGGATGTTTCGACGAAGAACCTTCGAGGGTACTGCGGAGATTAAACGACTCTTTAGCCGTGGATACTCGGTTATTTCGAGAGGATATACAAGGCAGTCGTGGCTGGGCTGCTGAACTACATCAAAGCGGACACATTTCCGGTGAAGATAATAAATCCATACAGGAAGGCCTTAACATGGTAAATATACTAAATACATAAAGGTACCTATTTCGTACGAATAGATATTGCACTATCTTGCCTCCCTGCAGGGGCTAGTGATCTCAAGATGTAGCGTTATGTAGGTACGCCCCGTCTTCCCGTCCTCTTCTTATTTGTTTCAACGTACCAACCTATACATAATCTAAGCACTTGTTACATAAGCACACTGACAAATATTTCACACTATTTAAGTAGGTAGGTCCTTTTTTGAGGGAGGAAATCATCAAACAAATGACTTCTCCTGCCCTGTGTGGGATAAGAGGGAGTGTCAGACTCTTACTGACAAAATACTACTCCGCTCCTCCATCCTGCTCCAGGCCGGGGCTGGGGTACATTATTGCACTTCACCCGCAATCCCACTAAATCATATCTATACTAATATTATAAAGAGGTAAAATTTGTAAGTTTGTATGTAGGGGGTAATCTGTGGAACCGCTGGTCGGATTGTCAACATTCTTTCACTGATATAGTTATAGCTACAATGTTCCTGGGTGCTATATGCTATCACGCTACGATAAAATAGAGCAGCGGGTGAAACCGCGCGAGAGCAGCTAGTGTACCTATAAAAATAAATACCTAGCTGTTTGTTAATCTCGCCAAATCCTGAGAATGGCTGGACCAATGTGGTTCATTTCGATTGTGCAATAGTCCTGGAAAGGTTTAAAAAGTAAGTTAAAATTAAGAAATAAATAAACGACAATCGTGTATTGTTTGGTAGGTCGAAAAAGACATTGAGCAAGAAATAATTCAACATGGACGCTTGAATGACTCTGAAGAAGACATTCATTCAGTAGTTGAACGACGGCTGTTCAAGTACGCGGGTGACGCGGCACTGCGCCTGCACACAGCTCGCAGTCGAAACGACCAGTCTGCAACCGACACGCGGCTGTGGATGCTCAGAAACTTGCCTAAATTGCACTCTGCTCTGAAAGAGTTAATCACGGTAAGCACAATAGATCTTAGCTTATAGCTATAGTTGACTTAGGTACCTAAGTAGGCACTATTTCTTTGGTTCAAATTGTGAATATTGGTAAAGCATAGGTATTGGTAGTATCGTAAAATAAAGGACGAAGTCAATGGTGTCTGGTGAATACCAATACATCCGCTTTATGTTACATATACATAATTAGCTTCCTGCCCGCGACTTATTCTTCTATAAACCTTAATAAATTATACACCTAAAGCTTCCTCTTGAATCATTCGATCTATTAAAAAAATAGCTGTGTGTGTAGTTTTAAAGAACTATACATACATAGGGACAGAATACTGGCTGTACTTACTACTTATATACCTACCCGCTAGTGTCCATGTACTAAGAAGTTTATAATATGAGCAGGTGTCCTCAATCCTTAATCCCCCTAATCCTTCGACGTGTGCAAATTTATATAGAGATGCAAAGTTATGAGAAGATGGTCTCAAGAAATAAGTATAGTTCTAAAAATTATTCATTTATTATTTTTAGGTTCTTCTTAATCGAGCAAGCAGTGAAATTGAAATTATAGCACCAGGTTATACACATCTCCAGCGTGCTCAACCTATTCGTTGGAGTCACTTTCTGCTAAGGTATCTTACAAAAAATAATATAGTTTAAGTATTTCCCAATTGAGTGCATGCCACTTAAAAGTCTCTTATTTTTCTTACTATTTCAGCCATGCTTGGGGTCTTCGCGATGATGTGATTAGACTTGAAGAACAAAAGAAACGCCTATCCCGTTGCCCGCTGGGCAGCGGAGCTATCGCGGGATGTGCGCTCACTATTGATAGAACTAGGCTAGCCGGCAGTTTAGGGTTTGAGGAACTCACACCAAACTCTATGTTTGCTGTCAGCTCAAGAGACCATTTGGGTAAGGATAAGTATTTATGCAGGAGTACCTAATATATAATTACGTGGGTGTAGTTACAGCCTACTTAATCTATGTTAAATTTATTACAGTGGAGTTTTTCAACTGGGCGTCGCTGTGTGGTTTACATCTCAGTCGATTAGCAGAAGACCTTATAATCTACAGTTCACAAGAGTTTGGTATTGTCCGGCTTTCTGATCAATTTTCGACTGGATCAAGCCTTATGCCCCAGAAAAGGAATCCAGATGGATTAGAACTGATCCGAGGAGCCGCAGGTCTCTTGCTCGGTGATGCAGTTGGATTCAGTTGCATACTAAAAGGACTTCCGAGCACGTACAATAAAGATTTGCAATCTGATAAAGAGCTTTTGTTTAGGTCCTACGACCGCCTACTTGACTGCTTAAAAGTCGCTGCAGGCACAATTGCGACTATGGATGTAAGTAAGATTTATAGAACCAATAGGTCTACACACTGAAAAGTCAAAAACAAAGTAAGAAAGTAAGTTGGTTGTTTTTCATTTTGTAGGTGAACAGCGAGAGAGCATTAAGTGCCCTTGACCCTGGAATGCTAGCTACCGACCTGGCCCACGCTCTGGTTCGTCGAGGCGTTCCCTTCCGACGAGCTCATCACTTAGTTGGTTCAGCTCTAAAACGAGCATCTACCCTCGGAGTTGACCTCCGACACTTACCGTACCAAGAATACCATACCATTTGGTAAGGTCCCTTAGAATAGTCAGCAAAAGAGATTGATTCTTCTTAAAAAAATATTGACATAAAGTGCGTCGCTTTTCACCTACTATGTATAAAGTTACCGGGGATTCAATACTCCGCGTCCCTCATCCCCATGCCTCGAATCCACGAGAGAGAAAGAGTTCCGAAATCTAGTTTTGAGAGCGTCCGAACCCAGCACTGATTGCTTACCATCAATTGATACGCTTGCTTGTTCTTTTTTGTGACAAAATGACAAAGAGCAGTTTGATTACCTGATGATAAGCAATCCGCGTAGCCCATTGACTCTTGCAACGCCAGAGGAAATACAAAGATTTTGCGGGTCTTTTGGAGACTAGTGTTTTGAAGCTTGAGGGATTGGGGAGGAATGAAGAGGTCGTATGCCGCCCTACTCCATAAAAAATAAACATTGTCATCTGTCGTTAGTCTAGCTGCCGTTGTGGCCCGTCCTTGCTTCGCATGGATGTCCAACAAGCTCGGTGTAACCAAGGAAAAATAGTGAATGATACAGAAATTTCACGGATTTACAGATCACCATTCATTTAACTGTTACACTACTAATACCTATACCAAATAGTAATTTATCTCACGTTATAGGTAGGTACTAAGTGCACCGCTAAACAACTGCCTACACAAATAACTTAAGTTTTCTATTCTAGCCCAGAGTTCGGGACTGAGGAAGAACTGGCTAGCGTTTTCTCGTGGGAGACGAGTGTGGAACAATACACCAGCTTAGGTGGAACAGCACTGTCCGCTGTTAAACATCAAATTGAAAAATTACGCGCATGGCTCGAGGAACCAACAGAATTCACTTGCAAGAAATAAACTAATTCCATGTCATTTACTTTCTTATTTTATTTATCGTCCACTAAATTAAAATTAAAGTAACTAGCTAAAGTTCCATAAAGGCAAAGTGTTGTTCCGTGCGGGAGTCGAACCCGCGACATGTTGCACAGCAATCAGTTACACTGCGCCAACCGTGCAGTCGACTAGGTAGTTGAAAAATATTAACAAGCAATATTAATAAGCTAGTTGAAAAATATAAGTCTAAGTTGGATGGTTTCATACCGACCATTTATGCCCTTGGTTATGTTGGCCGGAGGTTAAGGAACCGCTTCTCATGCATAAGGGTGTGGGTGCGAAACCTGGCAAGTACCAATGTGACTTTTCACGAGTTATATGTACTTTCTTTGATTATTTAGACAACAATGACATACGGAAGATAGAAGATAGATGAAGGTAAACATCGTGAGGAAACCTGGACTTACATATAATTTATAATTATAAGTTTGAAATCGCCAACCCGCATTGAGTAAGTGTGGTGATTAATGCTCTAACCTTCTCCGTATGAGAAGAGGCCTTTGTTTGACAGTGGGCACTTATAGGCTGATGATGATGATGCCCTTGGGTTGCGTGTTAAGCACAATAAGGCACCGCGGCCTCAGCCTAGCGCGGGAGAAGCAACGGGGGGGTTTTAGTCAGTAAGAGTCTGACAATCCATCTCGCCTCAGCTTGGGCGGGAGAAGTCATTTATCTAATGATTTACCCTCACAAAAAAGCTTCAATTACCTACATTCTTAGAATAAGATCACGTTTTGTTTATCCTTCTTAATAACGTTTCAATAACCCGTCTGTAAACAAATGAAATGAGCTCCAATTAGATAAGAGCGATTGGTCACGTAATCAAATATACATTAGGTATGAGGTAGGTACATAAGGTTAATGTTGATCCATGAAAATACATCAGGTATGAATATATGAAAAAAATAGAAGTATCTACCTAAGTAAGTAGGTCTTTGCATGCCGTATTCTAGATAATGTAATTTAATACGTATTGTTACGAGTTAAGTAAAAATAAAATATGACGTAAGTTAAGTTGACAAGCACAGGCACTGCGAAGGGTTGCTGAGTGCGGTTAAGCTGTCTCTCGCACCGCTCTCCGTGGGCCGTCGCTCCGCTTCCGCCTGAATGCGCGCCCCGCGACCCTGCCAGGAAAAACAACTTCGCCCCCCGGCCGGCCGCCCACAGTGCTTTCCCATTTAACCGCCGCTACGCATTCTACCATTGCCATTCCGAAAAGCAGGCGGTCTCCATTAAATATAAATCCAATTATTACTTAAACCTTCGAATCCTGTACCTATATCCAAAACACGTTTGCTGATTTTGCGCACGATTAAGTGTTAAGTTCAAATAAGGGATATTTCTCATTGTAAGGTAAGTTAAACTGTGAAGTGTCTGAAAGTGTTTTAGAAAGTTTTATCAATTCAAATCATCGGGTTGGTTGACAAGTTTGTTCACACTTGTAAACTGATAGTTATAAACGATTTATCATTTTTCAATAAAGTTTTCAAAGGCTTTGCCAAGTACGTGCGTTACTTTATTGGTCAACAGGTGCTGTAGGTACCTAATCAACATTGTTGTAATAAAGCAATAGTGGGGGTGATGAATTGTTTAATTGCTGCGAATTAATTTCCAAGCGGGGCTTTGAAACCGTGCGCACCCACACACTGTTTATGACAGGAGTTTTATGGAGGGAATTAAACTAGTGAATATAATAATATATTATACTAAACCAGCTTACCGATGTTGATAACGTAAACCTACCTTATCAATTTAAGCTTAAAGTCCTGAGGTTAAATATTTATTTACATTCTTTCATGATCGATATTTTCTAGTGCTTATTTATATAGCGTGGTTTAGGTGCATTCTGTATTACACACAAACGTCTGAATGCGCTTAGAGCTGTTTGTTGGTAAACCACAATTAAGTACTTAAACATGTTAGTTATATAAATAATAAATGTTATTAGAGAAATAGGTCTGGATCAAATTATCCTGGACTAGTGAATAAAACAAATAATTATTAATTTTGTAGTGACACACAATGGTTAACCTGGTTCGACGAGTGGTTTTCCTTTTCCTGACACTGGTAATCACGAATGAAGTCTTTGCCAATGATTATGCTGGGGAACCTGACATTGAATCATACGGAGAGGAAGAATTAGCTGAAATGATACCCTCAATGGAAAATGATAAGGTAAAAATAGTGAAAAGTAATTTTCACACTTATCTTCTTTTTTAATTCTGTCTATTTTGGTACATTAATTACCTGGGTTCTTTCATTAACCGAATATAATGGCAGTTATAATGTGACAGTATTTTACAATAAGTAGGTATCTGTATACCCACAAGTAGACTTATACCTACTTAGGTACTTTTAGTAAGTGTAAGTACTTAGGTATGGCATAGCCTATAGTCATAAGTATAGCATAGCAAGCTTAAGAACTAGCTATATACTCTCGCGCGGTTTCACCCGCTGCTCGGCTCCATATAATCGTAGCGTAATGTTTTATAGCCTATAGCACTCAGAAACATTCTATCATTGAAAGAATTTTGGCAATCCGACTAGCGGTTCCAAAGATTACATGTTTATAATATTAGTATAGATGCATACATTTAAGCTCTGTGGTGGTTGTAATTACAGTGAAACCTGGTTAAGTGAGACATCAAGGGACCTGCAATGTCGTTTCACTTATAGAGGTATTCCACTTACCCAGTGTCTCAGATATACCATTCCAGGTTCTCAGATATGCCATTGGGTTCCATTAATAGAGGTGAGAATACAGGTTATTCCAGTTATACAGGTATACAGTCAGTTATTCAGTGATACATAACACATTATTTTATTTAATGATCGCATTAAATAAAATAACGTGTTATTTATGTAAATAAGTTTTAATGTTTTAATAAGAAAAAATAGTACTTAAAGGTAATCATAATCACAAACTTTTTCGCGTGTCTTCCCACTTTCATAAACGGATATTAACTTCAGTTTTTCACGTAATGATAACAATTGTAGCTTTCGTTTTGGCATTTTTCAAATAAACATTGTATCATAGTAAAGCGAAACTAAAACTGAAGGTAATTGAAGCTCTAAATTTGTACTTACGTACTTGGAATTACGTGTGGAATTTGTGGGTAGAATAAGAATGAGTAAACAAACAAGTTATCTCAGTTACAGAGGTTTATGCATATAAAATTTACTCGCTGTCTCAGTTATAGAGGTAACTATGATGATAAATCGAAAGAACAAATCCCAGATATACAGGTTTGCCTCGTCCCACTAACAGAGGTTATTCAGTGCCAAATAGTTGGGACCTCAGCATGAGTTCCAGTTATGGAGGTTTCTCACTTATCCAGGTCCCACTTAACCAAGTTTCGTTGCGCAGATAATCCGTATAGGTAACGCCGTCTGTTTCAGGAATAAAATGCCAATTCATAAAGCGCACCGCAGAAAATTGATTAAGTTGGAAAAAACTTAAAACAGTTGGGGGTATTCGGGACTTCAAACTCAGCAGGATTAGGTATCATGATAAGATTATACAAGATAAATGCAGGCCTTATCTATACAAAAATATTTTATAAATATTTGTAAATAGATAGAGGTAGTGGGGTGGCGCAGACCCGGATATGTGTGACCCGGGTAATGAACCTACCTACTAATAATATGGTGATCGACAGAAGTAAATATATGCGTTGGTGGTTTAATTCTAGTAAGTTAAATTATAGGTAGGTAACCTACATAGATTCTCAGATTTTTAGTCAGTAAGAGCCCGAAACTGCCTTTTGTATAGGTACCTACCTAAGTATGTTAACGATAATGTAATGATAGAGTAATTTTAATAAATATATGGATGTAATGACACCTCAAAAGAAAAGGTAAGCAAACATTACATCGGTGCCATCATACACGCGGTTGCAGCGCCTCTAACGATAATAAATCAAAGTACGTTAATGCTTATAGCGGCATACATACATACATACCTACATTCTATGGCATAACCACCACACCTCATACCTATTACCAGATAACCATTACCGTACCTCCTTGAAGAACCAGATTACCTTTACCATACCTCCGTGAACAACAAACCAATACCAACGTTTTTGACTTTCTGTGATCAGAAACAGTGAAACAGGCCGCCTTGAAAAAGGCGTTGCAAACGTTTTAGACTTCTGACAGAAACTCGTCTTGAAAAAGACGCTTGTAACGTATGTATGTATGTATGCCGCTATATGCTCAATCCATAGCAGGCTATGGATGGTTAAGGGTTAACGTTTGGTTATTAGGAATAACACCTACTCTTCACATCACAGATCATCAGCCTATTAGTACCCACTGCTGAGCAAAGGGCTTTTTGTCACATGGGGGTTTGTAGCATTAGATAGGTATGCACCACGCTTGCTCAAGGCGGTTTTGGTGATTTCTAACGTGGGTAGGTATATCCGTATATCTTCTTAGAAATTCATATTTCCTCGACGTCTACCTTTAGTTTTGCCTGTAGTGGACAATATTAGAAAAATGTATAATGTAGAAAAAGTCATACTGGTTGCCAAGTTTACCCGCACCCTCATGCATCAGAACGCCTTATCGACACTAAAGTAAGCGTGTTCAGTTGCCCTCATTGAGAATGGATTTTTCAATGCATTAAACCGCATCATAGTGTGGTCAATATAGACTGTCAACAGTCTATATTGACCACACTATGATGTGGTTCACTTCATCAGATGCAACCATTGCATGAAATATTTTCATTATTAAATTAGATAATATTCAAGCATTTATGAAATAACCGTCATGACTACGATAGTGAGAACTGACAGAGCCAAGATAACCCCCGTTAGTGTTACGAACGGGGGTTAACCGTTTTATATTTTTGTAGCTTAGTGACATTACGACCTGTTCTATGTTAAATCAATTCGTGAAATAATCGACAAACATCATACATGGCAACATTTTTATACGTATTTTGGTGTTCTTTCTATTTATTACGCCTATGCAAACTTCAAGTCTTAGATACCTACTTACTTATTCTAACTGCGAACAAGTTTCGTTTCCAATATAAATCCTGTCTTCCTATCTTTATCTTTCCAATAAGACCTTTTAGGTATATTTTCCCATTACTTACGTAGATATTTTAATTTATGTATGTATTAAGAAAATGTTCACTATTGTAACATCCAACCACGTCTTACTCCGTGCATCCAACCCTGCGGATAACTGGTGGTATTCGAAAAGTACGCCCTGGTTTGATTGACCTAAATATATCAAAGTACGTTAACACTTCGCGTTTATTCCCTATGAAGACAGATAAGTAGGTAGTAACTAGTAAATAAGTATTCAGAAATTAGAAGCTTGTTTATAATGTTAAAATACTAAGTGCGTGCTATTCAGGTGTAGGTAGTATATATCGTGACCTACCTACCTTCATATTATATTCAAATGTCAGCGCCATCGCACCCTTTGATCTTTTCACTACTATGCATAATATCACCGGATATGGGATCAGCGGTAACCATATTAATTGCTAATCAGGATTAGGGAATGTGTGAACTTTGGGCTTACAAATAATTCCTCTCTGTATATAAGCTTTTAGGTGGGCTTAAACTAATGATATTGATATAAGCATGATACTGAAGCAAACTTTACCACTCTTGCTCCATGAGAACAGGTAATTAGTTAATTACTACAGACCTATACTTACTATTTTTATTTTCTATACTAATATTGTAAAGAGGTAAAATGTGTAAGTTTGTATGTGGTAATCTTTGGAACCGCTGGTCGGATTGCCAAAATTCTTTCACTTATAGATACCTACAATGTTCCTGAGTGCTATAGGTTATAAGACATCACGCTACGATTAAATGGAGCCGAGCAGCGGGTGAAACCGTGCGAGAGTAGCTAGCATGGTATAAGTCGGCAAACGAGCAGACGGATTACCTGATGTTCAGCGCCGCCCGCAACATCAAAGGAGTTGTTGTCGAATGCGTTGCCGGCATTTTACGGATAAAGGTTTAGGATATTTAAGGATTGGGAAGGGATGGGGGGTGGGGAGGTCCTCCGGTTACCTCACTCACACGGCGAAACACAACGCTGTGGTTTTTTCACGCCGGTTTTCTGTGAGGCCGTGGTACCACCCCGGTCTACAGTAATTTAATAATGGGGTACAAAAATATAATGTTTGTAAATCTGTTTTCAGTACATTCGGCACATTCACTCAATGATCAATGCATACAGAGATGACATCTTGGGTCGTCGAATGGTGATCGAAACAAATGCACTTGTAGACACGAAGTACAAAACATGGAAACGCAATGGCGATTTGATAAATTCTCTTCTGGCACTACCCAAAGGCATGAATGACGCCGGCCGTTAGGCATATACTCGAATTAGATTTATAAAATTACTGTGATTAATACAAAATATTAATATTTATGACTTAAGTTTTTTTTAATTCAAGCCTGGTCTAAAAGATAATAATGTAACCTATTTTAAATATTAAAATGAAAAATGCAATTCCTGTTTTCAAAACATATAATTATTGTACCATATTGTAATTCTACACTAATTTCACCTTCATAGAGGTGTAACTAAAATAAAGAGGTATTTATTTACAGTTAATTCAAACTACAGATGTTGAATACCTTACGTGTTTGTGCATTCAACAGAAGCTGAACGCTGTACATTTTTTGAGCATTAGACTCAACATATTTATTGCATATGATTACAATAAAATTGAAAAAATATTATTCCGTGCTACTTTACATACACAATGGCAGAGTCACAATGTTTTTTTTAATCTATAATTATAATAATGTATTCCATAAGTACATTAAGTAACAATATATTTACACGAGCTTTTTAGTTGAAGTTCTCATAAATGTTGTAATGTATGATTTTATTGCAATATACAGAATACTTATAAAAATGGCAGTTTATTTAGAAATTCTGATTTGCACAACACATATTAAAAAAATATTTATTCATCATCATGTGTAAAGAATATGCGTTCTTTACATTCTGAACTTTATTGTGCCTGACAAGGCTTTATGCCTTATACATATCATCAATGAGAGTTAAAAGATCTCATCAGATGTGATGAAATGGTACTTTAACAGTTAATCTATTAGGAGTAGTCTAGATGATCTTGACTATTACATCGTTACATTATATAAATTAGTAACTAAAGATTAACTATCGATTCGAGCGCTGCCCGAGTCTTCGATGCTAGAACTTGAGCGAGAAGCCGGGTGCCACATTAAGCGAGCGCTGGTGGAGCTGGAAGCCGAGCGCCTCGTCGGTGTCGGCGCGCGCGAACTGGGCGTAGGCCGCGCCGCCCGCCGGCGGGCGCGGGCTGTGCGTGCTGCGCCGGTTGCCCTCGGACTTGGCGGGCCACGTCGGGAACATCGCCGGCTCGATCGCCACCGGCTGCTCCTGCATATTGCACACGAAACTGCTTTAGACACTATCTTACTTTACAACTAACAACTTTAATACATTGACCAAAAATCAGTCAAATAGAAGTACAAAAATCTTTACCTTAAAATAAGCATGATCTAAAGCGGCGTCCGCTGTCACCCTCCTGGCAGGGTTATAAGTTAAAAAGCCTTGTAGTAAAGAAAGCCCAGTTTCAGAAAGTAGATCAGCTCCTATTCTTTGGCGTAACCCGCCTGAGGGATGTTCTGCAAAGGTCATTCTTTGTACTGCTGGTAATTCACTGTAGCCGGGCCAAATCATCTCAGAAGGCGTGCCCAAATACTAAAAATGTTAAAAGCCATACTTAAGTTTTGTGTATATTAAAAGTATAGATTATTTAATTTCAACTTAGGCAATTTAACAAACCTTAAAAATTCTGTTCAATTGATCCACCTCTGATTTTCCGGGAAATAGTGGATTCATGCTTATGAATTCGGCGAATATACACCCTACGCTCCACATGTCAATGGGCGTAGAGTATTCTTTACAGCACAGAAGTAGCTCAGGTGCACGATACCAAAGTGTAACGACGATCGGGGTATATTGCCGGAGGGGTGATCCGTATTCTCGAGCCAAACCAAAATCACCAACCTAAAAATGGACATTTTGTTATTGAATGCAATATTTGGAAAATAATAATATTTAATTATGCAAAAAAAATTAAAACTACCTTTAATACACCTTTGTGTGATAATAGCAAATTGCTGGTCTTGAGATCTCGGTGTAATATCCAATTATCGTGCAGGTGATGTACAGCCCTCAATAACTGCGTCATTAGACATTTCACCTCACCTGTAAATAAAACATCAATGAGGGGGAGGTTTCATAATACAATAACATATAATCTAACTAATATGCTACATTATGGTTGTATTCTTACCCGGTAGGAAAACTTGTTTCTTTCCACGCATCGTCTCCATGAGACTTCTCAAGTCATGCTCGACGTAATCCATAACTATGAAAATCTTGTCCATATTGGAGCCCACCACTATCTCCCGCACTGTGACAATGTTTGGATGCTGGCCCTGCAACAACAGAGCAGAATGTGCGACTCATTAATACGTGGACATTGCAGACCACTTTACAGTAACCACTTATATTCGGCCAAGTCCATACTGGACCAATGCAGTCGTACATAACAGTTTCATCTGAAAATGAATGCTTCACAATACTTCATAAGACCATTAATCATTATTTTACATCAAATAAAAATGTACATCGTAACAATAAGAGATAACCTTTGAAAGAAAGAGAAAGTTCGAGTGTTTTAAATAATTACAACAATAAAAGTATTGCTTATTAAATGCTCTACAATGTGAATACATTTAGTATTGTTGCACAGAGCTTTGGTACTTTTAACTTTATGGTTTTTGCAAGTTAGTGAGAACTAAGACACTTTTGTGAATACATGTCATATATAGATATTACGGAATAAATCTCAATACAGTAACAAATATATAAACGCAAAATGAAAAATGATAAAATTGTTGCATATACAAGTAAGTATATTATAATGCATATATTATAATATCACTGATACCCAAACTTTCATACAATTTCGATTTAACGTAAAAACCACTTCAAATTCAAACAAATCCGTGACCTATGGCGCAATGAGAAGTAATTAATATACAATATATACAACTAAACAAGAATTGTTTATAAATTGTGAAGTAAACATTTTCAGAAATCTGTACAACATACTCTTAGAACTATCATGTTTTATCGATCTTGATATGTCTCAAATAAGTATAAAACTTTTAAATACAGTGAACCAAAATAGTTCCAAACCGTTATAAATTGATAACACTATTCAAAAGAACTTTTTCAAAAATAACCTTATGAATACTTTGACTGAGCAACGAACAGTGTTTAATAGCTCTTATTCCATTGTTTCAGAGCTCATCATTCAAGCAAACATAAAATATTATTTTTAAAGATGATTACATTGAAACATATCAAGATTAGCAATGTCTACAATGTTTTATTAGTTTATCTACAGTTTAATTAAAACAAAGGTGAAAAATTAACAAATATTGACAATAACATTCATATTGTACATTCCATTCGTGACAGTTGTGGTAGTTGTAGGCCTATCTTATTTAATTAAGCTGTAGATAACAACAAAACCCATAATCCATTGAAAAAATAACTAAAATCACGCAGGATATCTACATGTCAGGATAAATATGGTTCGCAGTGGGGTGGCGGCATTTATTGAAGTGACGCCAACACTTTGAAATACGTGATTTTAATTTATCTATGTATGACGACTTTTCATAGATAGAGACACCATACATATACTATAGCAACCTTAAAATAATTTAAATTTTCCGAAGCTCGTCGAGGTCGGGGTGTTTCCAGCCACTTGAAAGATGGTAAGGCATTGTAAACAAGGGTGGCTCTTGTTAAAGGAGCGTATTACATACACGTACACGTTACAATTATTTAACAAAAAATATTTACTAGAGGACAGTGTTTTTTCAACAAGAAATATGACGTCATGAATCAACGTTAAAAAAAGCAACATTAAATTTGGAATGATAATGGCATAGTTTGCATTTTGTCCCATAGTAAATTGGATGCTTCAGTCAAATTCAGCATTAACAAACATCATTGACAGACTTCCATTTTGGCAGCTACACCAACAGTTTAAATACGACGAACTTAGATGTTAGAAAGCTAAATTTACTAAATAGAATAAGAATACTGTTTGAATAAAATTTCTTTTTGCTCAGTAACTTTCAGCACATAGCAGTTTGAAATAAAAAGAACAAAAACTGGTACTGTAGAGGAAAGTATACTTACTATGGTAAATGACATATATATTATATATTGTGCACTCAATTATTTCATTATTACATACCAAATAATTGACTGAAAACTAAAATTAAAAACGAGAAGCAAGGTACACACTTTCTAATCTACATTTACACAATGCATGCAACAACAACATAGAAAACAACAGCTTTCCAGATATCCAGTTTTGTGATAGTCTACTTAGATTTCTAAAACAAGGTAATTTATATATTTTATCTATGAATTAGCATAGTTGCCATAATGTTGTCTGACATAAAAATCACCAGTAAACTTAAAATTAAAGTATTTATAACAAGAATAAAAAATCTAGTCAAATGCAATGTTTCATGCATTATTGCAAGAATATGAATTAATTTGATAAACTGCATTGGTAACCAAATTTATCCCAACAACGTAATATACTTAGTGATACACGAATGCGATGAATTTAATGTAGAAGGTATCAAATTCACCACGCATGTAAATCAAATTTACAAAAAATATACTTAATAACACGCTTTTGAATTCATTATATTGTCTACCAAGTAAATATTTCAAAAACCAATCCCGCAAAATTTTTCGGCAAAATTATAATGCCTATAGAATTTGATGGCAAAAACTACGAACATCGAAAGTTATTAAAGTGCATATGTTTATATACACAGAATCCAGACCCTTTGTAACTGAGATAATCGTAAAAAAATATTGTTTTGTTGATTATGAGTTAGTGAAAAAATGAAGAATTATATCCAAAGTTAGAGGCATTCAATTTGCACAAAACGTTGCGCCAATCTCAGGTAACTTAGCAGAAAATAATCTGTATTTTCTTTCACATTTTACCCAATACTACTGTACTGCTTTGTACTGGGGTCCAACATTACGTAATCACCTCCTTGTCTCAAGGGCAAGCTTTCATGTCCATTTAAAGCAGCGTAGCTTTCCACTAGTCCCACTGGTGCTGGTAACGAAATCCGTACCACGTTCGATTTTGCTACCCATATTTACACACTTCTTCGTAAAGATGGTTAAACACATTACAGTGCCAATCTTTACTTACCAAAAAGCAACATGTAACAAAACAACACAAAACCATTACAGCTTAAAAATATTGGAAAGATTTACACTTAAGGCTGATTTCTCAATGGTTAGCTGAAAGTTATCATCTGGGGAGTAATTATGATGCTGTCGCGTCAGAATATTTGTATAAGACAGTGACAGCAACAAATTTATTCCTGATACAACATTTATTTGACTATTGAAAAATCAGCCCTTAACGTAACAAATCAATTTTTCAGTTGCAACCTTTTGTAAGAATGCCGCGTAGTATATCTTCCGTCATCTTCCCAAAACTTAATTCATTATATTTCATTAATTGATTATATTAATGTTTCAAAACATTATAATGAATCATATTCTGGACTACTATGTATTCAATAACCTAATATATATAAAGAACAAACTTTGAACTTCTTTTAAATAAAACTAAATAACCAGCAAATGCACTAACGAAGTGAAAGTTAAACAGAAACCAAAGCCTATGAAAAAGCATTTAGGTCTTGTTAAATGCTGAGATATAATTAATAAGTTAAGTGCTATTAAATTATGCCTGGATCAAAGTTTAGCTAGCAAGATTATAGAAAATCATCAAATAAGTTGAAAGGAGAACATCAGACTTTTACTACTGACTAGAAACCACCCTGTTCCTTCTCATCTCCAGGCCGGGGCCGCGGAACATCAAGTGTTATTTACCCGAAACCCTGGCACAAATCGACGGTTACAGCGGTAATTACAGAAGACAAAAAACTTTACTACCGTTCAAATATATGATAATTTGGAAAGTTTAATTTCGTTTTCGAAAGAGGAGAGAAAAATAGAAATGAACACTTTCTATCATAAATAAAAGGTACAAGTATACAGTACATTCAGTGCTTTTTCATATTCTATTGAGACCGGTTTTATATTTCGCCCGTTAATGAATAAGTAGAAGCAGACCCGAGCGTACGGTGCGTTGCGTTCCGCCCGCGCCTCAGTGAGGCAATAGACCACCACAGACGGGGCGCTATTGGGCCGATGTTTAGCCGTGGTTGCCGAACTAGCGCAATAAGTCAACGCGGCGTCGGCCTAATGCAAGAGAAGGAGTGTCAGATTCTTATTGACTAAAACCCCCCGGGTTTTAATCTCCTGGCGGGAGACTCCCTGGGCGGGATAAGACATATGATGATTTTCCCCTTACAAATAATTCAAAAAAAAAAAAACGACCAGGATGAGACTTGTTCACAATTATTAATCTTCCGGGAGTTTGATAACTATCAATCATTACATTAATTCCTGCTCATACTGTAACTACACAATCTGATCCGTTTAAGCATACCTACCACAACACCAAAGGAGTTACAGGTGTTTTGCTAACCGTTTTGTTATCATAACCTAACCTAACTCACACGGCGAGACGCGCACGTATCTCTTCTGTGTGATCGCGACAGCATTCCGGTTTGCTAGCAATTACAAATAGGTGAGACTGCTTGCTAATCGTGTGAGCATCAAGTTTCAATGACAAAGAGCCAAGTAATATCTCTTTTCGAAAAATAATCACGATACCTAGAGTAACTTGCGCGTTATTAAAGGAATACACGTTGTGTGTATCCATGAACAAATATTTATCAAACCTCATGACGAAACTAATTACATTTTAAACATGTTCGTTTATGTTTATATATTATCTATCTATCATTACGAGTGACACACCAATATGTAAATAGGCAAAAGATAAATTAGAAAATAAATTTGTTTTATAATTCTTGTTCCTGCTGAACCTCTTTATTATATTATTGATATTCTATATTATAAAGAGGTAAAATAAATAAGTTTGTATGTAGGGGGTAATCTTTGGGACCCCTGGTCGCTACAATTTTCCTGAGTGCTAGGCTATAAATTTAACTTCATTTGCGTGTTACAGTCGAGCTATCGGTGTCGTTTTTAAAACCCCGGGATACATTATTTATAAACGCGTGCGAAGCCACGGGCGAAAACATTAAACAAAATGTAACAAAACAAAACAAAAATCAGCCAGAAGTAGTTTACCTGTTCATATAGGCCTAATTTGTAATCAGGAGTAAGAAATGTCCACTCAAAAAATATTCATTTGTCCGCGACGAAAATGAGTATCAATAATTCGATTCATATTAGATGGTCTATTGTGACAATGGTTTTGAAATACATTAAACCAAGTACAAAAGGAAAATCAGAAGGTTTACAGTCCTTAGTAGGTAACTAAAGTCTGTGCAAAGGAAAATCGGTCAGAATATTCATTTTTTTGTCAGTTGAATGTGCGAAGACGTAGACGACTGACTGCGAGAATCATCCCTAGCGACTAATAAAGGGATTAATTTAGAATATTATATTGTTTTTTGTCATTTTGTAGTTACGTCCAAAAACCAGCGTAGTATCTCTTAGGAACCTAACTCACGTTTTTATATAAATTGTCTAATACAATATCTTTTGTCATAAGTAATTTAAAAAAGGAAGTATTGAAGAAAGAAATTTCAGAAACAGAATGATAATAGCCCAAGTCATATAAGATCTTAAAAGAAAACAAAATTATAGTACTAGATAATACAAAAATATCAATTGTTAAAAAACAAAGCAACCAAGCTAATAATTTGTTATTATGCACATGACAAAACAGATGAAGTTGAAATTGAATATCAACTTCATAAAAGATACTAGCTAGTTGACGCGTTGCTAGAGCTAGATATTATCGACCAAGCAACTCTAAAAATATCAGATAAGCTTAAAACTGTTTCAACACTATTATGGTCTGTTTTGCACTTTTCGTGGTTGTCGATGAAACATTCGATATCCCTCATAATTATTATGTATGCCTTGTATATATTTTCTTGAAATCGGATAAAAAGTTACATAACATATACAGAACATACATTTACATAAAACTTGCATATCGCCAAATCAAAATATTAGCGAAACAATAACAGTTTACACCATACTAACACTTAGAAATTACAACAAAGTGACCACACAACTTTGCCCTTGAGACTCTAGATATTTATTAATTTTAAGCTAATAGCGTTTCTAGGCTAGCAGCCTAAAATTAACTTGATTTGAATAATTACGTGTAAGTACTAATGTTTAGTCAAAACTTCAAAGTACTTATAAATATTCCCTAATCTTTACCTGATGATGTCTTGTTGGTTTAACTTCAAATATTATGTCAAATGTAACCTTCGATGTTCGTATTTTAAGCACTGTATGTCAAAGAATTACTTTTGTTGGCCATCAAATTCGAAGATGTAGAACGTAACAAGAAGAAAGCATTGAAGGGTTGTCCCCCTGGAATAAATCCCTACACTTTTAAGCCCGCCCGTATCGGAGTTGTTAACCCTTGCAATCGGGTCACACCTCTAGCACAACCCTCTTGCAGGTAAGAGGTGCCGGGCCTGTAGGAATAAAATACATGGCATTAATAAAATGAATTCAACACGGGAGCCATCGAGTGCTTCACAGCTCGTGGCTCAAACACTAGCTCGTAACTATAGTAATAATAATAATTTTAAAACAATGTACCTTCGAAAAAAGAGCAGTGATGTATTGTGATGGCTCAAGTGAGCTTACAGTTATAAAATCAGGATTGTGATCTTACCTTAAGCAAAGTGTTAATCTCTCTCAGAGAAGTGATTGGGAATCCTTCCTTCTCTTTTTCCATTTTTAAACGTTTCAGAGCAACTATTTCATCAGTAGTTTTGTCACGTGCTCTGTAAACTACTCCATATGCCCCTTCTTCAATTCTGTTGAGACATTGAAATTCCTCGACTGACCGACAACCCTATAAAATATTAACATTATTCAATATTTTTTACATAATTATCTTAAACCAGTAGATTAATTTAATACTTATGAATAAACAAGGATCTATTACATTATTTCAAATTAAAAGGTTGTGCTAGGTTTTGTCACCTGAAATAGCTTTTCTTGTGAAACAAAATTTATTTGGCATTGACATAAAAGGCCAAAACCAATGTGTTAGGTGGTAGCAGTCTGAAATCGATTGATAAACCCCACATAACATTGTGTATTAAGTAACAGCAAACAGAACACCTAGATCCCAATATGTGTGCGAGCTATCAGAGATTGTGAATTAGAAAGAAATGAACAAAAATATGCACATTCTTCTCATAAGTGGTTGTATATTATGAGCACTTAACAAACCATTTACATAATTTGAAGATATAATTTAACAAATAAGGAACAGCAATTACCTGTAAGGCTGGGTAGTATGGAGGCAAGGCATTTATTGCTTCTTCCCTCTGTCTCGTTTCTTCATCATCTTCATTAACTTTTTCCTCTTCTGTAATTTTTCCATTTTCTCCTGGAGGAGGAGGTGAAAAGGAATGTGATCTACTTCTACTTTTAGATCGAGACAAAGATCTGAAAAGACAAGTAAAGTATAATTAATTTCTTTTTAACTCTATATTTTAAATGACATAGGTAAAACAAATAATTATACAAATTTTATAGACATGGCATGGCAACTACCTGTGTGATCCATGTGAAGATGGCAGAGACTCTGGTTTAGACTTGGAGAGATTTGGACTAGGAGACTTAGATTTTGAAGGAGGTCTAGTTTTGTCATTGATCCTATCTTTATCCCTCTCCTCTTTTTCATTCTTTTCTTCATTTCTGTGCTCATCTTCCTCTTCTTCTTCTGATTTTGACTCTGCTGCTGAATCTGATTCTGTGCTAGAACTATCCTCTTCTGTTTCACTGTTTGTGTGCTCACCTAAAAGTAATAAAACAAGTCAAAAGATTATTTTTTACGACATCTATTAAATTAATGGTAATTTTGAATTGAAATTGTTCCCTTACCATCTTCAGGCTCAGAGTGTAGAGAGTCAGTTTTCATTTCTACATCACTAGAATCAGATACAGTAACAACAGAGTCACCATAGTTAGGCGAGTCTGTTTTCGTTTTCTTTGTTGCTGTCTCACTGGGAGATACTGAGCGTTTTTTGCCACGCCGACGGTGTTCTTGTCTTCGAGCCTCTAACTCAGTCCGGGACTCATGTTTTCGCTTCTCTCTTTCTTTATCTGAAACAATTTGGTGTCCTTCAATAAGGATTGGTGAACATGAATTAATTCTATATTTTTCATTTCAATTTCATAACAATGCTTCTACAAATTGTGCTTATCTTATCTCAAGTCAAATTGAATGATATCAAGAATAGTAAATATTTAATACTAACCTGCGAATAAAACTTTATTTTTCCTATGTTCTTGATGTTTGTCCAATGATGAGTGACGGGATGATGATTTCCCATCCTTCTCATAATAGTCTGAACTCTTCTTGCCGCTATCTTGACCCTGTAACTCTTTAGTTATTCTTTTGTTCAGTAATCTGGTTCTAAGATCTTCCAATTCCTTATCACCAGATGTCCTATCCCTGTTTTCCTTTTCATTATTATGATTAGTATGGCCTTCTTCAGCTAATGATCTTAATCTAGACTCTATTCTCTCATTATCAGAGCGCTTTCTCTCTGCTTCAGCATATTTATATTGCCTCTCACGACCAAGATAAACATCTCTTTGCATTTCTTTCTCTTTGTTATACATTTCCTTCTCTTTGTATAGCATATCTTTATCTCTATAGGCCTCTCTAGATCTAGCTGGTTCTCTGAAGGATTGATCTCTATACATTTCTCTCTCTCGGTAATGTTCTCTGTATTGATCTTTTTCTCTATAAACTTCTTTTTCCCTCATTTCTCTCTCCCGGTACATATCTTTTTCCCTCATGTCTTTATTATCCCTATACATATTATCTTTGCCATCTCTGTACATTTCCTTTTCTCTATATGTTTCTTTGTCTCGGTAGGATTCCTTATCCCTAAATGTTTCCTTGCCATCTCTATACATTTCTTTCTCCCTGTAGTATTGCTTTTCTCTATAATATTCTTTGGCCATATCTTCACGTTCAGGATTCTTACTAATTTCTCGTTTTGTTTTCTCAGACTTATCACGTTCCCTGTAGAAAAAGGTTTATGATTGATCTATAACATTCCCAATGTCAGTAGGATGTCAGACCTTAAAGCACATAATAAAATTTATAAATAAGTTATGACTAAGTAAAGGAGAACTGAAGTAGGAGGGGCCAGCACAGTATGTCCTTAATAAATTCACATTGAAAACTCAAAATATTACAAGAGAATCTGCTTTAAATTCTGCATCAACTGATCTGTAATATGCAAAATAAAGTGTAAACCTAATAGAAGAAACTATGCAGTGCATATAAAATGCACAGGCAATAGAGTGAGTATGATAAATAAAAAAGAATCTACAAAATACATGTAATAATTCTATAGGTGAATTCTATAGACTGGGTGGAGTTCCAACCGTATTTGGGATAAAATTAATATCGTAACATATAACTCTTACCTGTACAGATGCTTTTTTTCTTTCCTTATATTGTCTTTATATCTGTCTTTGACAGTCCTTTTATGTCCTCTTTTATCTCTATGTGCTGTTCTAATCACAGCCTGGGGTGGCTTGATTACCAAGGAATCAGCATTGTCTCGATCTTCATCAGATAAACTATAAATGTTCAATAAAATATAATTTATAAATACCTTACGCAAACACTTTACACTATAACATAAGTCAACACACTGAACTATAAAATTAAATTTTACCATAAAGCTGTTACCATATCCACCATATAACTGTAATTACTGTAAGAATCCTTAATTATTTAACCTTAACTAGGATATGTTCTAATAATTGTTATATTACTGCAACATTATGTCCAATTACCTATTTCACGTATTAATCAGTTAATTATTGTGCATGTTAATTAATAACAAAAGGTTTAGTCTCCAAGGCAAACATGAACCGATAAAAGACCATGTATCATGTACAAGAAAGAATTGGTTATATTGTGATTTCATAAATAAGGATTGAGGAAAATATAATTTGCAATCATTTCCACTTTTTTTGACGATTTCCGTAAAATTTACTCCGATGGGTAAAACCCATACAGGTGGTAGATACCACAAACCAATTGTGACGAAGACAACAGCTAATAGCAGATATAAATTACGCCTGATTCTTACGTGGCCATTAAAATTATTTCATTTTTACACATGCAAATGCTCAAATTTAAATTGAAACGTATTACAATATAGTTACGTACCTAAAATCCATTTCATCTTGGACAGGACTACGAGCCAGCTCTCCATCCTCGCTTTGATCGTCTTCGTAATTACTCATGTTATTTTTCTTTCCTCTACCTTGAACGTATGATATAAGGACGAAAAATAACACGCAACAGCAAACACAAAACACAGTTGTCAATAATTAAAACCTCTTTCCAATAAATGACGACGAAATTGCCAAATATAATCCAACCGAGCCACAAATTCTATACACTCACGCTAGAACGCCATTTTGTTTAGAGATATGTTTTTAATTTTCAAGAGGAGGACACTTTTGTCTATGACTTTAATTTAAAAAGAGGGCTTTTAGTAAATAGAACTGTATTTATTCCATCCATGGTAAATGGCATTCACGTGTAGACATGCAATGCAAATGTTCAATATGAAAAACTTTAACTTTTATCATATTTTGTTTTTATATGTCGTAGAAATAGCAATTGGTGCAATAAAATCATAATAATCTGCCTGACCCTGCTAAGCAAATGGGGCTGGTGGTAGTTTTCGTTTTACAAACCAACAGACGAATGTTAGTCATGTTATGTTATGTTAGTAAGGTTACTAAAAATTAGGCTTTTTTCAATTTTGAAGAAAAAGCTATAGACGAATGTTAGTCTTAATAGGTACTAAAATTTGGCTTTTTTATGATGCGCAAGAAGAAGCTAGTGTCATATTAAAAGTTAGTTTCGGCATTTGTGCTGGTTGCAAAAGCATTTTCATACTACACTATGTGAGTCATGAAGAAAGCTTCTTTTCAGTTAATTAGATATTGATTCGTTTAAATTCAAAGCACGATAGTTTTTAATCAATCATTTAATCAGACTCTTTAGTTAACGCTCCAGAAAGAAAGCGCAAATCTTATTATTTTCCTATCTGTGTTTTATCTATGGTACATGCACTCTGTCTTTCATTCAATGAAAAAATTAATGCAATCAAATGCAATTTGTCAAACAAGTACAACGAAAGTCAAAATAAATAATGAACTTTATACGATAATATTTTTGTATACTTATAAGTTTTAGCAATTTTCACGTTCATTTTGGTAATAATAAGTAAATTTATGCTTACCTAGATATTTTATTGTGTAGTAGGAATCTTGAAGACTAAATTTAATATCATGGTAAGTTTTTTCTTTCACAGCCAATTTAATTTATAATTGGATAATGTGTTGTTAAAATCATATTAGGTACAGCTTAGGCGAAAGAAAAACCATTCAAATACACATTGATCAATAATTATGGAGATGTGTATGCATCACTATTACTGAAATGCTTGAAATTATTAATTAATATTTAATTTGACTTTATGAAACTTTTAGTAATAGATAAAAATATTACAGTTTTACTTATATAGTCCTTGAAATAATATGAAACCTAAAGAAGATAAGTTAACACATAAATTGGCAAAGTGACCTTCACCTACAATCTTAACTGCTACTTACATTTTATAAATTTACTGACCCAAGTATGCAGTTATACAACAGAGTATGTAATTGGTGGTCTAAATCACTACATAGTGTAAAACATAGTTTTCTCCCTGCTTCTAAATTTATGCTTAAATCTTTAAAACTGCAACTGATTTTGATGTGTTTTTTATTAGATAGTGTTTAAAGTGGAATGTTTATATGTATAATAACATTCATCAAATATTAGAGGAATTTAGTATCAGCAATGCATCTATGTGATGCTGAGGAGACATCTGTCTGTCTTTTCTTCACGCCTAAACTACAGAACCGATTTATGTGAAATTTGGTACAGACATAGTTTGGTACTCGAGAAAGGACATAAGCTGTAGAAAGTCACTATTCCATGAGAATGAAGTTGTAGACTAAAGCTAGTACTAATATACTAATAATAATATAAAACGTAGGGCACTGTATTTCTTTGTTACTTATGTTTTACAAATAATAAATGATTATGATTATAATGTTTATGAACCAATCAATATTGTATATGCAAACTTTAAATTATTTTGTTGCAGAATAGCAAGATATTAAACACAATAGCCAATGCAATCGATAATAAAGAAGAGTTAAAAAAAAGGATAGAAAATGGCAAAACAATTCATCAAGATTTACTAAATTGCATAAAAAATTGCCAAAATCGTTTTGGAGGGAAGTCGGAGTTAGCCACAGAAGATGACATAAGGTGATACATACAAAATATTTTATTTACTCACTTGTTTTCATAAGAAATAATAATAATTATTAGGTTATTCTTTCAGAATAGCTCAACTATGTGAAAAATGGGAGAAATTGCTTAGCCATGGCATTAGAACTAATTTATCAAACTCGGCAATTCAGAATTTGGTTACAGCAGGTTTAAACTTCACTTTTAATATTGTTAATGTTGGTAAGATGATGTTACATGATAAAAAATTTATCAAAGATGTAGTGTTTTTTAATTTTTATAATATTCTATACAATTAATTTAGGCACTGAATTGTATTTTCTTTGTTTCAGGAAACTCTCTGTGGAGTTACACTTGCTTACATTTAACGAAACATGAAAAGGAGAGATTCAAAATTCTAACGAATATTAACACACCACTTGGGTACTTCAGAGCATTTCTAAGAGCTGCTTTAAATGAGAGGTCTCTTGACAGGTAAACTTTAATGCTTGTAGCAAGCAGTTTATATATGTATCAGTGAGCACAACAAAAGTGAAGTAAAGTCTGACATTCATTATATTTACAATTATAACAGATATCTTCAGAGCTGGATAAGTCATGGCCTGCTAATGGAATATTATGAAGAAGGTGCTCTGGTCCGAGGTCCTGAAACATCACATCTTTTTCCAAGCATGGCTGCAGGTACAGTATTCATATATTTTGAAAATATTTATTTTTCTCCTCAGAAATCGTTGCTCTGAAATATTTACATACATATTGATATGATATATAGGAAAACCTAGTAATAAATGTAACATAATTTTCAGGTTTATCAACAGTGTTGTTTGCATTATCAATTGACAGACCAGAGTTGAATGACTCACAACAAGCTAATCAAACTAACAAAGCAGAACATGTGATACCTTTACCAATGCCAGTAAAATCATCGAGTAATTTAAAACGAAAGCCATTGAGACAAGTTATATCCTTTGATAAAAATGACCAGAAAAATACTAAGAGCAACAGGAAGCAAGTATTCGGACCAACAGAACAAATTGATAATTCTGCTTGGAGCAGTGCACCCGCCACTTGCCTCAATTCACCAGATCCCAAAATAGTTGCCCAGGCAGCTTCAAGTAGTGAGCCCACAAGTTCAGAATACAAAACCAGTTTAAGGCACTTTTTTCCTGACAGTGTCAAAGTTATGGACAGTCCTTCACAAATTCTGTCCAAACTTTCTGAATGTGCTAAGGAAATATTTTCATCTTCTAATAGTATTGATGTAAGCAATGTCATCAAGGATGATGTTTCAGAATTAAGTATAAATAATTTAAAAATATCAGAAAGTGACAGTGAAGAAGTGGCAGGCAGTATTGATGGTAGTACTTCATGTTTAGAACTCTGTTTCACAGAGGATGAAAGTACACCAGAAGATAAGACATTACATGCGATATTAGAAAATAAGGAAAAAGAATATTTAAATTTGCAACTAAAATACACTCAAATGGAAGTAGCTAGTAAGGAAAAAATTAAAAAGTTAGAAAATGTAGTATTAGACCTGAGCAAGTGAGTAAAATAAATATCTATCTAACTATAATCTAACATTTTTATTTGTTAGATGAGTTCATACCAAATATTTGATATAAAATGTACTACATATTTATTTATTATCAGTATTGGCTTCATTCTAATCAACATGTTTTCTCTCCACATCTGCATTATACAAAATAATATTATGTTTATTATATATATGTAGGTACATAAACCCAAGCCTACACGTATGTCTTTTCATTTCTTTTTCAGAGAAAATGATCGATTAAAAGAGCAATTGCGGCATTACATGTCAGCTGTTGAAATCGCAAAAGCTTTAAAAAGTGAAAACGTAGATAATACAGAAGTTGATCAGTATGAAAAGAAATTAGTTCAGGTGGGCTATCTAATATAGTATTATATCAACTATTAAATTATAAAATATGATGATAAGAAAACATTTTCATTTCCTATTGATGCCATTGGTACTTTTTTTTAAAACCTTTCGTCTCGTCGTCCTTGGGGCACTGGCCCATAATAATAAATATACACATAACTTCAATGGGAGTAAAACAAGTGGGGTCTAACGGGAATACACCGGGTATCTGAATCTTAATAAATGAATTAACTATTATTTTAAGTGCTTTATACCTAAATATTTTTTTCTATCTTTATCAGGTCGCTGAAATGCACGCTGAATTAATGGAGTTCAATACGTATTTACAACAGCGGCTTAAAGAGTATGAGAGTATATCCGCATTAGAAGTGCTGGATTACCCTGAGTCTAATGTGAAGGCACATATACCGACTGCATTCTTAGTTGGGAAGAAAGCGCATTCATATCATGTATATCAAGTAAGGAATCATGATGGCCTTTTCTATAATGTCTGGACAGTTGTCAGATTAATGTTACGATGATCAGACATTATGGAACACACCCTTGGAATACTCCCTGTTCTCGGTACTTATGTAGCTACTCACTATAAATAAAGCAACTTTATTATTTCTAGATTTACCTGAAGATAGGACAAGAAGAGTGGAATGTGTACCACAGATACGCAAAATTTCATGAACTACATACGCAGCTCAAAAAATGTCATCCTGATATAACGACATACAAGTTTCCTCCAAAGAAAACATTACGAAAACGAGTAAGTCACAACAATGTTATAAATACTAGCGGTTCACCAATGCTTCCCATGAGCACTTTTGAGCAGGAAAATTCTTCAAATACCTTCTTCTGCATTAAGTGGTCCAAGATTAGAGTAAAAAGTATGAATGGATGGTGAAGGCATACATCACCATTAAATGCTCCACTGAGCTATGGCTACTAAAAGTTTGTTTTTGCCACAAACTAAGAAACCAGCCAAAAAATAAAATTACGTAGATCATGCTTATCTTTATCTTCGATACGAATGAGTAGGTCGGCCGACCGGAGTGCAACATGACTTCTCATAAAACTGGCGCAGGGAAAACAAAACTTGTCGGTATCGTGTTCCGCATTAGTCCGGTCGTCCAAACTCCAATTAATAAATGTGTTTGATTAATATAATTACAGGATTCCCATTTGGTGGAACAACGACGAGTGGCTTTGCAGGCGTATTTGCGACATATACTGCTGGTGTTACCGGAGCTCAGAGAGTGCACCAACCGTACACAACTTATCACTTTATTACCTTTCTTTGGGTGTGTATGCACATAACATCTGTGTAAATAAATTGATAATACGCCTTTATTAACTGACATAATGTTGTTTTTTGCAGAACTTCGTCTACTACTAAGGATAATGGGTTTAATAACCCACTAGATCGTCAACAATCGAATGATTCTATTTCTTCGTACAATGCACTATGATATTGTTTACTTAATAAGAACATACCCAAGTTAATAAGTACAGTATTTTACACTGCGTAACTTATCTTTTAGATATTTATCAGATATCAGATTTATGTTACTTGTGTGTTAGAGGTAGAGCGTATAACGATACATTGCATATGCATATTAAACAAATTTTTATAAGACACAAATAGCTATAAGTCTATGTACATATGTAAAAAGTAATTTATAATTTGTGTACCTATTTATTCAAGTGCTTATTGTTGGAAACCTAGACTTATTTTACAACCTGAAATAAAGAACATGATAATATGAACATCGATTTTTTATATAATTTCTGTCAACCCGGAAAATATACTTACCTAACTTAAATTATATTTCACACTAGCGACCTGCCTCGGCTTCGCACGCGTGCAATGCTGATACTAAATTTCTCTACTGTTATGGATGTTATTATACTTTTAAGTAAGTTCGTGCATGTAGCATGAACCACCTTTAAAAGGAAGAAAGATAAAATAACTTAACGGCCCATACACATAGTACCTATTATAAGCTGCGTGGCGTCTCCAAGCTGCACGCATTCTTAATGTATTTCAAGTATAAGTTTGGTGTCTCTATACTAATTTCAAACTCTTCTTTTTGAATAGGTAATCAAATAAGGAACGAGTGAGAGTGTTTAAAACGTAAGAGTAATCTAATATAATCAGACTGATCTGAACTGCTAAGCTATCAGAAGCTACACGTGTGTTATTGTGAGTCAATCATAAAAGGTAGGTAGATATATGCTGTAGCGGGATATTTTTTAGATAATTTAACCATTAAGGCTGTACATGCAACAGAAGCTTATAAAAAAGGGAGTTTTTTGTTTCTTTAAGGAACATACAGACACACAGACAAAAATTTTACTATTTCATTTTTGGCATCAGTATCGATCACTTATCACCCCCTGATAGTTATTTTGAAAATACATATATTTCATGTACGGAATTGACTTCTTTACAGATTTATTATAAGTAAGTGGGTATAGATAACTTCTTTCATTCTTCTGATCGTCATATTTCATGGGCAGTTCCTATTCTATCATGTTATTCAGTTCAGCACGTTCATAATAATAGTTTCTAATAAAGGTAGAGAGCGAAGCATATACCTAAGTATCCTATACCTTTAATTAAATATTTCTAGGTTTCTATATATGCTACAACTTGAAATTATCTAAATGTTTGTACCCTATATGTAGGATAATAAAACCGTTATAATTAAATAACAAGTATCTATAAGGCTATAATATGAATTTAATTTTTCATCTTATGTCAAATATCCATGTGTATGTGGTTGCTAAAATAGTAAAAATACACACGACTCACACGGTGGAATTTCATCGCGCGGTTTTTTCACAATTGAACAAATTGCGCGATTAATCCTGTGCGGCTACGGCCGCCCTAGTCCAGGTCATGTCAGAGGAGAAACTGGGATGCCGTCTCCTCTCTCTGCGAAGCAGTGATATTCGCAGAGGTGGAGCGCGCAGGAGACACGTCAGCTTCGGGGATCACGTGGCGATGTCTAGGCACCATAAGCGTGGGTCTTCTGATGACGAGCAAGGCTAGTTCGGCACCCAACCAAGACAAGACTCGAGCTTATGGCGCGTAGCGTTCCGGTTATTACCGCAGCCCTCACATTCCATCTAGCCTCACCCTGGGCTATTTTTTTTTATTTATTCACAAAAAAATTACATTATTAACTTTATTATTATTTTTTATATATTATTAACTGTAAGACAGTTTGTTGGCGATATGAAAGTGTAGTCATCAATACTACTTGTTTACTAGGACGACAACAAACGATACTCACTGAAGCAGAATTTATAGTAAATAGGCACTGAAGTTAAATAAAGTTTGAATAAAAAACACTTTAGCAAATAAATTCATGATTTTATTTTCATAATAAATAAAAAAAATCAAGAAAACACTCTTTCTGAGGATTTCCCATATATTAAAATACATGATACAAAAGATGTCAATACAAACTAAATCACTTGGTGCAAAGGCAAGCCTGTCGGTTTTGGGGTTGCCCACCTTCGGGCGCGTCCAAGGCGCGTCGACCTCCGGCTAGAGCTATCTATGCAACAGGCGAGTGGAAACCGAGGATAGCCTCTTTTAACTATATTTTAACAAAATAACTATAATCTTAAAGATTAACAAAGATACAATGTGCTTTCCTCGTGGAATGCATCTTTGTAGGCATCTCTAATTTTGAATGCAAAATATATGTATTTGATCATGATTTCAAAATAATGTAGGTAGAGGTATATAAAAAGCGCATTTATTACACTTCAAAAGTGAAAAAAAAACGAGATAATTTAGCTTTATGTAATAAAATAAATAAAATATGATTAAAATCATGTATCTAAATTAAGGGTGAAATAATTTACTACAACTTTACATCTAAACGATATAAATGTATTGCAACACACTAAGGAGCTTTGGAACCATTGAGTAATTCGGACCCTACAATAAATTTCAGCTGGTAAGTAATCTCGAACAATAAATCTAAACTTGTGATTCATCTTTGGTTTTGTGGACATTGAGTCGGCTATAGTTCCATAACTCCTCATAGGACGCAGCCAGGGCGTGGGCGCTACGCTGCTCACGAGTCTAGATATAGAAGCCTACACTGGACTGCTATCCGTCGTGATTAATTCATAAGTACTTATATAAGTTACAGATCTACTGCGAAGCTGATGCATCCTAAAGCAAATAGAGAACTTTATAACCAAACATACATGTTAGATGCTGCTTTTTCTAGATTATTTCTCATGTGAACAGATGTCAGACGATGATTAGGAGTAAAGTATGCCTTATATTTCATTAAAAATATAATTTCTTAATTGTTACGGACTATATTAAAAGAGCCGATATTGTAACTTAGTGACTAAAATTACTACTGAGACAGTTACAAGAAAGACGCAATATAAAAGTAAAATATTTGCTAAAAAAACATCACAGCTCACAAGCTAACGTGAAGGTGACGCGCAGTAAGGAGGGACTAAGCGAAAGGTGCAATGAATGATAACCTACAATTATGCAACAACTATGTGTAATTATTATGCAGTAACAGACGTACTGGTACAGTTTATATCAAGTCACTGGAGCTAAATGTGTTTAGTTGAAAGAGATTTTCACATTCATATTTGAATACAAAAATCACCCACTAAAATCGAATCGCATGTCAATCTGGCGCAGTCCGTGCCTAGTGACAGTGAACTTGCTTGTTGCAGCAAGTCGTCCAGGCACACGCACGTGAAACCAATGCCAACTCACCGGGTATGAGCGGATACCTGAAGCTTTGTGTTATGTATATCTGAATATAAATGGACCTTCTCGTTATCACCCATAACACTTTGTGAACATATTTCAAAGGTTTTCGTTTCGTTAACTAAATAAATGCTCGCATGTCGGCATATCAACGCTTATCACAATATATAAAAATATATATTAAAGAAGCTTAAACTACAACTACACATTGAAGATGCACACTGCTCTGCATTTGCCACCACACGTGGAATAGTTAACAACGCCGACAGTAACATACATAATAACTTTTTTTTTACTTTTTTTGTTTTTATTTTATTTGTGCGGCAGCATATGCGATCCTGCAATAACTCACAGCATAGTCTTACAAGATAACGTGATATTGCATCTCGGAAATCATTTTTTTTGTATCCATATGAGAAAGAAATGAGAGCATTTAATGTTCCATTTAATTCACACAAATTGGTAACTGGCTCGGTATGTCTTTGTACTGAATGATAACTCACCTCTCAGTTTGCACCATTTCTTTCTCATGCAGGTAAATAATCTCTAAGTTCATTGAACATTTAATCGAGTTTAAGCATCCATAATGAGAAACTAAATTAATACTTTTGTCATTTCATAAAAATATTATATCTGATTTAAAAATAGCAACATCAAAGACAATCTTTTAAGCTTCGGTCTGCTCAAACCGTAATACTTTTAGATGCGGTACTATATCGAATTTATATGAAACCTGATATATATTATATCGCAGAAAGCTATTTAACTGTTCTAAATCCATGTGCACTTAATAGACGTTAATATTAGGTAGCTCAAAACATTAAGCCTAAGAGAATACTACCGATATTTTTCTTATTTTTTTTTGTTGCACTTATTATTAGGCTTTCCATAAACACATAGTTTTATAATAATGGTTATGATTTTAAAAGAATTATTTTCGTCTCCCCTGTAAGGTACATCTATGAAGTTTCATTTAAATTCTCTATGATGTAATGCTATCTCTTCAACTTTCATCTGAAACAAACAGTGTTTGGTTATCGACACAATGAATTCATTTAGAGACGCTGATAGAATATTTATCTTATTATTAATATCTTACCTCGTGCGCCCACGATGATTGACTTTCGTTTGATGTCTTGCGCGGGCGCAGGTCTCACTACACCGGGCGTTCCACCGCCAACTAAGTGACCGCCGCCAGCACGGATAGGTTTCGCTGAAATAAAATGATCCCATGTTTAATTTTTTGGTGTCAAATACTTTGAATATGTTATAAGTTTTTAAATCTTTTTTACATACCAATTTGGGCTTGTGGGCCTCGGCGGGCGAGATTCTTCGCTCGCACAGCTTCTTTAATTCTATCAACTTCAAACTGATATCTCTTGCGATCACGCATGGCACCGTCCTTGGCTTCCTGCAATAAAAAAAAACGGAAGTGATTTATATCAGAGAAACACGCGGCTAAAGCATGCTTGTAGGAAGTACCCGGTACCTTGAGCGCAGTTTCCAGCGCCTTGACGCGCTCCATTGTGGCTCGTAGACGTTTCTCCAGCTTGGGCACCTCGCAGCGAAGATCTGCGTTGTCACGAACAAGTTGCTTGTGCACTTTTGTAAGTTGTTCCAAGTTGTTCTCCAAGAAAGAGATTTTCTGTTTCTGAGCTAATGAACCACCTTCCTCTTCAGCACCTTCTTCGGAATTGTTGGATTTCTTTATCCTTGCCTGTAGCATTATATTGTCGTCAAATTTCACCGTACACATAAACAGACTTGATAGAGTAACAAATAATTAGTATTCTACTCGCCTGCAGATCCTGTACAAACAACTTGCGCAGATTGTGCAGTGTCTGTAGTTCCTTGGCGACGGTGTCCTCCAGTCCTTTGAGGTCAGCGCGAGCTTGTTCACGCCTCTCCACGCTTTGACTGAACATAATAATATGCATATTATTGTCACACTTAACAAACTAAACAATACAATGAAAATTAATGATCACTCCGTTATTACCTG